ATACGTACCCCAGCCAGGAATCAAACCTGGATCCTGGAGCTGTGAGGCAGTAGTAGTATCCACCATGTCACACTACAGATCACAACCCTTCCATGCTTGAGTACAGCTGTCACTATTAAGGTACTGGCTGCTGGCAACGGGGAAAGTTCATGTGGAACAATACTTCTGTTAGGAACAGAACCTGATCCAGTCAAACTTGTTGTATTTGCTCCATTTTTGCCATCATAATATTATATGATTCTGACAATGTGATTGGTTATAGATTACAGGATTCTGTCAAGTCTGGTATAATCTTCACAGTGACTACAATACACATAATATCCTTGATTCACACCCTCATCCCCTGACTACCGTTGAGATCTATGATAAACTGCTTCACCCGCCCATCAGGTGTCCTTGTCCTGGAACAAATAGCTGTTCTCTTTGGCCTTCTTGTATTGTGCATGTTATTGTATACAAGTTAATCTAGTAATATTATGTATTTGTCTTGCCTGTTCTGAAATCCACGGTCTTGTCCTTATCCGTTTCAATCTCAGTGATGGTTTAAATGGGGGCTTCCTGTCCATCAGCTGGAGCTGGCGGGTGGATCTTAGGGTATTTTAACTGGCACTCGTGGTGTAGTAAATGAGCACAGCCTGGTGTTTGTAAATAGTGTAGTAGCGAAAGTGCAGAGGCATGTCAGAGTGGCCAGAACTGTGGAAGTTGGCTTGGAGGGTCTTGGGTTCAAGTATTGGGCTGGACAGTTGTTAAAAGGTGTTTGATTGTAACGTATCCTGGTGTTGTAAATTGGTTGGAACTGCTCTTACGAATTTCCTCAAAAGGTCTTGAATCTTTCCTCTTGTTGCACAAAAGAAAAAATACCTTTTTTGCTCTATCTTTTTTACTGGACCTGTGATTTTATAACCACTCCTGTATTTCCGTACAGGTAGTTTTGCTATAGTAGAAACGAAATGCAAGCTGATTAAAACACGATTATTTTAAATTCATGTAGATCTAGAATATTATAGTTTATATAAAATGTAAATCTGATTTGGCAAATCCAGTTAATAATTTCTAAGGAGTCTTTCTGTGCCATGCTCTGATTTATATATAAATGAATGTCTTTAAACAAATTAAAGCAACACTCTTAGTAGCTGTGTGGCAAGGTAGTGCAGTGGTTAGTATTGTTGTCTTGCAGTGCTGGGGCCCTGGGTTCAATTTCAGACCTGCGGTGCGATCTGTGTGGAGTTTATATGTTTGCACTATGTTAACATGGGTTTCCACTGGGTGCTACAGTTTCCTCCCACAGTCCAATGACATACTTGTGTGTTAATTGGCATCTAGGAAACCTAGTGTGTGTGTGCCCTGTAATGGACTGGTATCTGGTCCAGAGTGTACCCCTCCTTAGGCCCACTGCTTGCTAGATAGACTGTGGTTCCCCTGTGACCCTGGATTGGATGAAGTGGTTAGAAAATGGATGGTTATGCTCTTATTAGCTTCTTATGGATCGACTCAGCAGCTGCTGTATTTATTTCTATTGATTTTTTTTATATAGTTTCTTTGTTAATGACTTTGGGATTTTGAAAATGATCTCTCATTTCTCATAATTGTCCTACAGGATGATTTTTAACTGTAACAGAGAATAATATTCAACATGAAGAAACAGAACTGCAGTTTTAATAAATTCCTTGTGTTTCTTCTAATGTGTCAGTTTCTGTCTTTATCAGTGTAGCCTGCAGGAACCCTGGATTTAATGTGACAATCCTCAGCAGGGATACAGCACCAGTGACATCATCGTCACCAGGTGTCACATGCCCTAGGAAGCTGTAATGCAAGGGGCTGCTCTGTCACACTTCTTAAATATCAGCTGTCAGATCAGTGGCTTGAAACTGAGGTCCCTTTTCTGTTGTGCGCTCTTTTGTGTCTTTTGTTCAGCACTGTCAGTCTTTTTAATCAAATCCACTATCAGCTGACAACAAGTGATGAACTTGTTCCCATTCTTTAACTGTAAGAAGGTAGAGGACACAATGACTATCAATTGCGTGAAACTGAAATGTGTCTTTTATCTACTGTTTGTCTATTTCTGTGGGGTAGGCAATGAAAACATCAATTTCTCCTCCTCCCAAAGAAGAAGGCATCTCAACCTGCACAAGAATACAAAGGTTAACAGTAAATTGCCAATCTGGAAAACACCATGTTATTATTTTTTATCACATTGAGGTTTTATTTAGATGTGTTATCTGTTTTGTTTATTGAGGTTTTAGATCTAAAATACATTTAACCAGCTAGATGTGTCAAATAGCCTATCCTTGTTTGTTACTGTTCCTGAGTTCTTAAAATGATCTCTGTCATACCCCCCAATATCCTTATTTAAAACAAACCATACACTGTTCTATGTGGTGTGGGATTGTGGGGTCTGTCAATATCAGAAGCTCTCCTCCCAACAAAAAAAATTGTCCTGTCTTTCTACGGAACACTGCGGACATCCCACAGGAACTGACACAGATTCAGGATGACTCCAGACTTGAGGGTTGTGATATACTGAATCAAACACAGTGTGATGACTGCACTTTTGAATTTTGACTCTAGCAATATTAAAAACAAGCAAGAAAAATATTTACTCATGTATCTACGGAAACCACTGTCTTAAATCATTGTTGTTTCTTCCCAGAAAGGTCCCGCCAATGGTCGTCTTTTGAAAAGCCTTTGTTTTAATCACTCTGGGAAGAAGAACATGTCTGTTTCAAAACAGTGGGTGTTTGAACAGTTTGTGAAGTGATTACCCATATGTTCCAGGCTAACTAATGATGTTGGAGGAGCCGTCAGCCAGGGAAGAGATAGACTCACATAATATCACCGCAGCTAAAAAACTCCCGTCTAGGCAGAGTGGAAGACCACGGCACAAGCTACAGTGTTTAGTCAATAAAGCCTGAGCCCCCCTTTAAATGCAAAGTTGTCCTTAACCAAGCTACTAGTCCTATTTTGGGCAGAGGGGCTCACACACCAGTAACGATACCAGCACAAATATAACAAGCATGGGCTGGGTGGCTAAAAGTGACTCAGTCTATTTAAATAGCTCCGCATTAAAAGGAATTTCACTGTATTAATTACACCAAGTGTCTCCACCAATATTGTTCCATTTTATAGTAAAATATAATTTCCAGATGGTTTATTTTCCCCAACATTATCATGGCTTTCCCTGAGGCACTTCAAAATTATTTCTCAAAATTATTGTTCTCTACAGCTAAACACTGTTAACTCTACTCATTTAATTACATCTTTGTATTTCACGTTAGTGTCTTTAGTATCTAGATATGATTAAGATGGCCAGCAAACCACAATTTACCAGTCTTCAGAAAATAAGAAAGATTGAAGTTTGCGATTAAGGAAATTGTAAGCATATGTTTGGCACATGTAGTCTTTCTTGGGAGTAAGACAATTCACATTTTCAGTCAGATTGGGAATTTTGTTTTTATTTGCAATGTGCCTTCAATATCTTGCACATAATAAATGGAAGCATGATTTTGAGTGCTCTAGTAATCTTGGTCCACACTGACAAGTGTTCTGAATATTCAGCACTTTTGCTGAAATTTCAGTAGACAAGGGAATCAGTGGGGGATCAAGGTTGATGGATAGCTTTTCTTTGAAACACACTTTCCCCCTTTCTAAAGCAACAAATAAATTCCAGAAGTAAATATTGACAGTATGCTTCCTACTATTTATTCACTGCTTTTTAAATCACATTATTGTCTAGCTCCACATATTGTCAAAGTGTTTGTATTCTGACAAAGAATGTCAATTCCTGCCAGCACGTCTTTATGCTAAACCATTTACAGTGAGGATATCAAAGTGCTAAGGGTTTTAGGTTTCAGTATATTAGCCCTTCCGGTCAGCTGTGTCCTCTGAGAGTCAGCTCCTCTGTCAGCGATGACTGTGTCAGGCCAGAGCTCAGCTGTTATCTTTTCGGGAAGCCGCCAGTTTCCAAAACATGTGTCAGTGAACAATGAAGCTGAACCAATATTTCAATATTTACAGGCGCTCTTAGCAAACATTTTCCCCTGGTTTGAGATTCCCTGTCATTTAGAAGGATAATTCTGGGGGTTAATTAAAAAACAGCAATGCTAGAATATAAAGTGAAAGGGACTTTTTTAAAATCTAAAACCAAATACCAAATTTTAAAACCAAATATATCTTCCTTAACCAATGCTGTATAATTGACACAGTATACCATATAATTTTCAAATGTGTTGGTATGTTTTCATATGTTAGGACTTTGTTAAAGGTCTACCACATTTGGTCAAAACTACCTTACTTATAGAACTGAAGATTGAGACTCTTAGGGTACAGGGAATTGATAGGTATCATCAACCAAAATCATTAACAACAGCACCTTATTATTGTTCTGTATGTCTATTTGCAGAAGTAGATTGTGAAAGACAATTAAAACTTGCAGAAGCATTGGGGGAGCTCTGACAGTTTCAGTTTTGAAGAGGGCTTTCTTATTTCTGTGAAACGCTAGTCCCATGTGCAAAAACAATGTGCATAGTTTACAAGTGAGTCACTGCCATCTTCACCTGTCAGGGTTATTTTCCAGTAACTATGTGACGAAATTCAGATCATATCATTGCGTGCAAGATGTGTGTTTACTGGACATGGAGTACAAACACCAGCGTCGTCAGTCACTTTGTAACCAACAAACCCTGTTTTCCCCATCGAGGACTCAAACTCTGGGTCTGAGGCAGGAGGAGTGACTCTCCATCTCTGATCTCCGTACCTGAGAGCGGGTTGACACGAGCTGAGGACTGCTCTGCTCAGAGTTTGAAGAAGGGCAGGTAGAGCAGTGAACCAATTAGAGTCAGGAATGCAGCTGTGCTGAGTGATGATTGCTCAGTGCTGGGTGAGGGAGGGAGGGAAAGGAAAGTTGGAAGAGAGAGCAGAGTGACACTGGCAGACTCTCTCACACACACACAAGCATGGCTGCGAGGATACTGAAAGAGCTTCTTGTTCCTATTTATGTACAGTTCTCCAAGGACAAGTACATCATGGAGGGCACTCCTGAGAAACTCCGCAAGGAACTAGAGGAAGAGCTCAAGCTGAGCAGCGAGGAGCTACGGAGTCATGCCTGGTACCATGGAGCCATTCCCAGACAGGTAAGCATGCACCTCAATAGAACTGGGAATCATGCTACATTACAATGCCGCCGAGAGTTTGGACAGGCAGGTTTATCATGAAAGCATACTGTTTATAACTGCAATAACACCACAGGAAAGCAATACATTAGCTGTAGCTGAGGTTTTAAAAGCTAATGTGCAGGTAGTCTTAGGATAGCTCCCTCTGTACATGCTTGCAGTTGCTGAGGTTATAGTTTTTGTTTTTACAGTGATGTAACCTGTAGATAAAGATCTGCTAGTTTTACTTCAGAGCTGTCATCTCATACAATATAAAATATTTACCGAAGTTCTCTCTGTTATTTGCTGTTGTTACTGTAACACAAATGCCATAAATTAGGCTTAAGTACAGCGTACATAATGCCTTGTGCATGTATAGAAAACAAACTTCAGATTCTCATTATGTCAGTTTACTGTAGTTGCTATACTAAAGTTGGAGGTGAAAAAGGAAGTTTAAGTTTCACTGTTGAATTGAACTTTTTCAAAACTTGCAGTATTTTGTTTAATTACCAATATAATAGCAACAATTTATACGGGACAAAATGTTTCCAAAATAGTCCGCAATTGTAGTATTTTTTTGGACTGCAATATCTACCCCTTTTTAAAAGAAACTGCAGTTTTCCTTTTTAATCCTTTCAATAATATAGAAGGTCTGTGCATGACAGAATAGTTTAATTTTCCTAATACTGTCTCAGTGACAATTTATTGACATTAATTAAGTATGCCATAATGATTTCTAATTTATTGTAAACGTTTCATGCATTATGAATTTTAAGAAGAAAAGATGCATGTTAATACTGTATTTAGCATTTATTGTATTTAATATATGATACATAAAGTTTCTCTAATATTTTAGGGACATTATACAATAATTTATTTAAAAACAGAAGTTGAGAGTTCTGTTGTGGTTCATTATCATATAGTAACAGAACCTCTCTGGCATTTAAATTCTTAGCTGACTTGATTGAAGTGATTGATTGAATTCAACATTTACCTCCCATAGCAGCATTTCTAGCTTGTTGTCCAATCTTAGAAGTTAAACAAAGCTCATCCTGGTCAATGCTTGGATGACAGACCTTCATGGAAACTAGGTTGTTGCCACAAGTGGTGTTGATGGACCTTTCCTCTGGACAACAATTTTCAAACTATTGCCCCAGTGTTGTGACAGGTGACACTGTGACATAGGAAACAGAAGAAATGTTAAATTGAAGGCCTGGGTAATTTATCGTTAAACGATTCCATTATAACACATCCCATGGCACTGTTCATATGAACAGGGATCTTAAACTCTGTGTTTCTGTGTTCTGGCTAAATCCCTATTTAGGCTTGTTCAGTCTGGGCTTTTCAAGATTCCTCCTTAGGCAAAGTGGTGAGGCAGTTTCTCACTTTTGTACCTAATCTGCTGTGAAGTGGGTGTGTTGGAATAGAATGACTGTTGTACTGTATGTCAGCCAGGATTAGAATGATTAATGATTAAATCGACTAATTATTTGAGTACATCTGACAATAAATCTTGGCTAAAAAAAATTAGAGAATGTATATTAAAATACATTGCATGAAAGGGGTATTTTATTGTCATGACTGGAGAAAATAAATACAGGACTAGCTTTGTGATTGTGGCTTACACCACCACATTATTTTAAGTTGCATATTTTATTAAAGGATTTTTTTTTTTAGATAATCAGTCTGATGATAGGGATCAAATAATTCCTTTAGGTCTTCCTGGATGTCGGAGAATGGAAAAGTTACATACAGTATTTTACACTGACTTCCCAAATTTGTTAATTTGAAAGGGAAGATTTGAAATTAAAGACTTAAAAATCCAAAAACTACTAATCTGGGTCCCACCATTCTTAAATTGGGATATAATGAGGTGTAATGCAAAGGCTACGGGCTACAGGTTACAGCTGCATTCAAGATCCTATTGATTGTCATTACCCTCTGCTGTGGATTTACAGGAAGATATGAATCAGTTTAAAAAAACAGAATATTCCTCTGCTGAAAAATGACTCGCAGACAAAAGTTTATTTTCATTAGAGACCATTTGTGTTTTTTTAAACTGTTAAAATAAATAAACATACTGTAGATATCGCTTGCAGTGATATTACCTCTAGCCAAATAATAGAATACAACTTTGGAAGACAAGAATCTGTAAACCTTTTGAAAAAATCCAAATCAGGTACACTGGGCTTTGTGAAATTCTTATTTTATTAACTTATTTAAAATACAGCTTAAAATTAATATTCCAAAGTATAACAGTTGACAGCTGCTGAGGGTGTCGTGTTTTCCTTGTGTGAGAAAAAATGAATGAGTTGCTGGGAAGAGTTGGTAGGTTCACTCTCCTATAAAATGGCTGGAAAGAACATTAAGTGAAATATCAACATTTCAGGTGTGTTGCAGCTCTCTAAAAGGATCATCCAGTAATCGTTTGACAATAAGTGCATTCTGGAAACTGTTGTCAGCAGTTCCAGTTTTAACAAGTCTAAAACTGGTTTAGGCAGATTTCAAACAGAAATAAAGAGTCAAAAACCAAAGGAAAAACTTTTAAGGTGCAAGCAAACATGATAAAAAAAAAACACAATAGAAAAGCCAGTATGACTTTAGCATAACCTTTCATTCACATTACGAGGCAGATGCACAGAACAAGGCTCTGAGCTCTTCTGTTAACATGCATTATGAACATGCTCTAATCATTCAGTTAGCACAGATTGATGAGTTAAAATGGGATCCTTTTTAAAAATGTACTTAACTTTTCAGCTACTGCTTTGGACTCTTAAGATGTCTCATTCTCTGTGAGGATAAAAAGACTGTAAATATGTATTTGGATGAATCAATTATTTGTACTGCAACATTAAAAGTGCACCTGCATTTGGCATTATCAAATGTGTCATTCAAGAGTGATGACACACCATGCTATCAGACAGACCACCTCATTAATTTCCATAGTTTCCTTTTATCTCTGAAGCAAACTTGCTCTGAATTTTCTAAAAGAAAAAGCAAATGGTTTAGGATGCTAATCTAGCAAAACAACAAATGAAACAAAAAGATTTTTATGGACAATTTTAATTTTAGTTTTAGAATTTAAGCTTTACGTGAAGAGTAGAAAACTGAGGTAATCTCTCTCCATAGTATCTCTCAGATTCAATTAATGAATCTGATCCAATACTTTCTTTGTTAAGAAATGGGACACACTTCATGTCTTTGTAAAATGTATATACACAATTATATATTGCATGTATTTTAATATATGATATAAAACATCAAATTATATTTTACAGTCTACTAGTTGAGGATTTCAGCGTTTTTTCATTTTTATGTGTAATTATTTGTAGCTGTTGGGATATTTCTGCTTTTGTTACACTGCACTAGAAACTAACTTTAATTATTGTTTACAAAGTTATTTATTATGGGAAGTAACACAGGAGTTTCACAATATTAGGGGTTCCAGTGTTAGAGAATGCCGGGAATCGCAAACCACCAGACTCTCAGCCCTCAGCAGAAAACCTCCACTCTCTTCTGACCTAGGAAGGGAGGGTTTCCTCTGAAGCTGTCATACCTGCTTTCCCTGTTGGGTTAGACAACGAGAGATCTACCCACGCTCCTACTCTTCATCAACAGACCTTGTTGTTCCAATTTCCTTGAACAAACATCCATTGTAATTTAGCTTTCCCTTCTGCAGTGTGCACACAGCTTGCTGTTTCATTTAAATAATCTTGACTGGGGTGGATGCTTATTACATCTGGTGGGTGTTTATGCTCCAGCCATGGGTAGGAAGGGGTTCTTTCTAACTGTAGTCTCACTTGGAGGGCTGGAGATTTCTTCTGGGATAACACCTCCTCACCGTGTCCTATAACTCCACTACAACCAATACTTTCTCTTATGAATTTCAAACTAATATTAATACATCATAAATTATTGGACAATTTATTTGACCATTTCTGGCCAGGGAACTACAAACTAAAAATTGGAATTATCTCAGCAAAACAAGGACAACTGGTTAGTCAGTGCTGCAATATACTGCAGTTAATATACTGTTACATCTACTCAAGTCTGCCTGATGCAATACAAAAAGCGGTATAGGAGTTGGTTCATATATATTATGTACCTGGAATTTAGTCTGAAATTGACTTTGACCTTTAGCTTTTCATCAGTTATTATGAAGTGTACGTTATTAAAAAAAGCACAATGGGTCTGACAAGCTTCTGCAGGCAGCTCAGAGTCCGTCTTCACCTCTGCTATTGTAGTACCAGAGAATTTTTTATTTGTCAAGTAGCGACCTTTACATGAACCAGTCCTCTATTGAGAATTTGTGGATCAAAATTAATTTCTTTTAATTTAGGCAGACAAAAACCCACAGGTGTCAACAACAGAAGTCAACACCCCCCTTCTGCCACAGCTCGTTTCGCGCAGTGTCGTCTTCCCACAACATCATGTTGCTACTTAACAGTCTCTCTTTCCCCATGATTTTTGTTTGCTTAAGGATATTAGACTGAAAATGAAATGAATGTTTATTTTGCAATGAAGGACTAAAACTCTATAATTAGAAGCATCAATGTGCCGACTGATATATTTTTTAAAACTGGCAGTTCTCTATTTAAATGTGTGCATGGAAAACCTGTTTCAGACAATGACCTCAAACACGTTCCCTGGTCATGTTTGCTTACAAAATTAAAAATAAAGTTTACCTATAGCATGAAGGCTTAAGGAGAAAATTAATACAATATTGCTTTTGTGTCCTGTTTGATAAATGCGTATGCAATTCGCTAACCAGGCCTTGTTATATTAAAACTAGCAGCCTTGACAGGCAGATGATGCACCAGCAACAAAACATCAGAACAAAGTACACATTGCAAACTACATAGCTGGGTAGGTTGTGCCATACTCCCGCCACTCTTTTTCACACATATTTTCACCTATGGTTTGTGCTTCAATGTTGATACTGAAGACATCCGTAGGGTTGATTTTGACAATGCCTTTGAGCATTTTGAATACTCGGTTCAAACCAGGCACATGTGTCATCGAAGCGGGTAGGCTTTGAGCTTGCATGGGGAGGCCATGGATTTCATGGATATCCATGGATTTTCCATGGATAGCACATTCAACAATCACACGTTCAACATGGGCACACTGTATTTGGTGACTTAGCCAAATCCTGATGTATTCAGCCGCGCTGAGGAATGATGTGCCACCGCTACACCAGCTACTGTACAATTTGGTTCAACAGAATGGGCACTCTAATAGCTCTTTTTATGCAGAGACAATAAAAGAAAGACAATAAAAATAGTGACAGAAACCATTAGCACTGCATATAATCCACCTCCTGAATATCCTATAGAAATTAACTGTCTACTTGAAACAGGCTTCCTGGTACAGACTGAATGGAACTGATGTGGTGTGCAACATCTAAATACCTCCTGTATTATCCTATGGGTTTCAGTCACGTTCAGGGAACCACTAGTTGCACAACATGACAAAATAGTGAAAGTCTGATTCTTGTTTGGTTACTAGTAAGTTATTTACTCACATCTTTCTCATAAGAGCTCAGGGAATCTGCTTCAACAACCTGTGATTTCCACACGTGTAGTCTTGGTTTGTTTCTCACTATCAAGCTTGAAGAAGTTCACTGGACTGGCTTTGTTAGTCCATGTTGGTTTGTTTCCACTTTGCTCAAAACTAAAACTAAAGCCTGTTTGTCGTTGTAGGACTGTCCTCAAAACCTGGCAACATAACTGCTTGCTCTCTGTTTAAGTGGTGAAACTGTAGGTCATGTTCTGAATAAGATCTTACTAATCCATTGCACAGATTCAAGCATACATTTGTTTGTAACTCCCTCATAGGAATAAAACAGCTGTTTTTCAGCCACAGGTTTCTTCAGCCACAGGTTTCTTCATCAGACCACAGATTCTCAAGAAATGGGTGTGATTTTAGTACTGTTCATGCCAGAGCTTGTAGAGAATATCTGGTTATACTACTCACAATTCACTTCAGGCGTAAAATCACGAATATGGGTTACTGACCTTTAATAAAGATTTGAAGATTCCCTTTGCATCAGTGCTCCTCAACTCCATCTTCCAGTGTTCAACCTCTTGAGGTACATGCTGTTTTTAAAGCTTCTTTAATGGTTGAACCTCAAAGTTCCATACTACTCAATAAGAAAAGATGTCTTGTACAGTACATCTATGTGGAATACATGATTGCTGTCATTATTGATTAAATGACATCCTTCTACAATTGACTGTATTGCAGTTCAGAAGGCTCACTCTCATTTTCAATCCAAAAGATTACGATGGAAAAAATGAAAACTAAAAGGCCTTAAATGAGATTGTGTATTGTGGTGTATGTTTGTTTGGTTGCAAAAATTCTTTACAAAATGATTTGTGTTATTATCAGGTAGGAATCTAAGACTCCTAAACGTTTTGAGCCTAGCCTCTAGAAGAGTTTTATTAAGAGCACAGGCTCAGTCTGCTGATTACAATAACATGAACTTACTTGGAAAGAGCTAAGTATCTCTTATTATTTCCTGGTTACAGGTTGCAGAAAACCTAATCCAGAGGGATGGAGATTTCCTCATCCGGGATTCTCTATCCAGCCCTGGGAATTATGTCCTAACATGCCAGTGGAAGAACAGCCCCCAGCATTTCAAGATAAACAAGAAGGTGGTGGCCATGAATGAGGCCTACTCCCGCGTACAGTACTTATTTGAGAGGGAGAGTTTTGACAATGTTCCTGCCCTGGTGCGTTTCTATGTGGGCAACCGCAAGCCAGTGTCGGAGGTGGTGGGCGCCATCATCTTCCAGCCCATTAACCGTAACCTCCCGCTGCGCTGTCTGGAGGAGAAGTACGGGGTGACCGTGGTCAAGATTGAACCGGATCAGAAGCCTCAGTCATCCAAGAGACTGAGCCTGAACATAGCAAATGGCCACTCACAGGACCACACACTCACCAGGGGAAACCTCTTAAGGTACATGCGTGTCGCCAAAATGGGGGACTGCTTCACGGGAGATTAGTAATGATTACAGTTCCTCTGTGTCTTCAGTAAAAAATTGTGGTTGTCTTGGAGAATTTACTTATAGAATGTGTCCAATATGACACTAATTTATATACACGTCTACTTAAGTTTAAATATAAAATAAAGGGAATGGATAGTTTCATACCTTTTCTGTACAAGAGACCTTGAGTGGTGTGAGAAGCTATGAATAACCACTGCTTTCCTGTTAAGTCCTCTCTTTGAACGCATTCTTTGGAGAATTCAGAGCCCATTATTAAGAAATGAGAAACACACATTCGTATTTTATAACAACTCTTAACCTAGTTCATTCGTACGAGAAGTGTTTTCCATAAACCATTTCTGTAACTGTGGAGAACAACTCCATGCTATATATGAATGTGGTGTATTGTGCCAAAAGCTGAAATTATAAGTTCCTTAATTTAAATTACAACTCTTGGAAATGACAGATTGCATTTCAGTTTTATTTTTGCACTGGTTTTATCCTCCCTGCTGTTCAGTGCAGATGAGATTTGCTCAGAGCAACTGTACCAGTAAGTTTAAGAGCTCTTCTTCTTCTTTATCCCAATAGAAACAAGGACAAGTGTGGAAGCCAGCCTGCTTGCCTCAACCATGTGCAGGAGAGGAGACGACCACTGAAGACTCATCAGTCAGAGAGCTTTCTCCCCCTCAGTAAGTGGTTCGACAAACCTTTTTTTTATATATAAAAAAAAAAAAATTCAATAGGATGATTTTCTTCCCAGGAGATGTAGGCATAAATTTCTTTAGGACTGCATGGATCTTTGTTAAGTAACCCTTTACTAGGAAATCATACAGGAAAGTGCATAAAATCATTAATCTTTTTATGGGATTTCTGAATTTAATGTGGATGCCTTAAAAAGTAAGAGCTTAGTTCTCTATCTAGAACACCTTGAACATTTTCTATAATCTAGTGATATATCTTTGCTGTGAAATATTACTATTTTGCATGTTAAAGAGATGAAAGGAATACCATCAAAAACAGCTTTGAAAACACAAAAGTATATTAATATTTATAATATAATGATTTCAAAGTAATCACTCTGTTGTCTATTAAATGTAACCGGAAGGTTACACATTCAAACTAAATTCTTCAGGTGTAACATGTAAGAAACCTCATTGAAAAGAAAAGCTAGTTGGTTGATTAATAAATAAATGCATTTTGAATAAAAGTTGGAACACATTACATAAAGAAAAAAAGATCGGACGCCGGAGAACAACCATGCCACCCTGGATCTGAACTCTTACCACCTGGCGATGGAGTCAGTGGAGGACGGAAATGTCAAACAGACTAACCTAAAACTACACATAATGCAGTAAGCATGCAAAGGAACAAGTAAAGTTTATTCCATGCTGAAAAGAGAAGAAAAGAAAAGAAACACAATGTTTCGGCTGTGGAGCCTTCATACACCCGAAGAAGGTTCCACAGCCGAAATGTTGTGTTTCTTTTCTTCTCTTTTCAGCATGGAATAAACCTTTACTTGTTTCTTTGCAGCCTGTGCATGCTGACGCAGGTACTTACTTGAACTAATACAGTAAGCACGTTGATCGATACGTTAATTTAACTGCTGGGTTGATGTTCTTTCAAAATAAAATTTTTAACAGAATGTGTTGTCTCTGTACATAACTCATTGTGATTGTAGAGGTGTATGAACGGCGCATGAATAGCCAAAGTAAATGGAAGAGCCTGAGTAATTTGCACACGGGATGCCTGCCTGGGTGGGTCTTACCTGCTATGAGTAATGGGTTCAGCCTTCTGTTCCACAGGCTCCAAGCCCCAGCCCCAGCTGATGGAGACACAGCCCAGCCCAAAGTCCCCTGTGTTCAGGACAGGAAGTGAGCCGGCCCTGAGTCCCACCGTGCCACGAAGAATGACCTTCGAGACGCAGGCTGGAGAGGCCATCCGGGGGTCCGACAGCCAGCTATGTCCCAAACCACCGCCCAAGCCGAGCAAGGTGCCATCCCTTCGGCAGCCCTGCTCCCCCTCCCTCCAGTCCACCCAGCAGCAACACCAGCCCGAGGTCAACTACTGCGAGCTCACTCCCTGCAGCCCTGCGGAATGGGAGAGACTGGCCCACATGCAGACGCCGCCGTTCTCCAACAGCTATGTGGACAGACTGAGGACGGAGGAGATCAAGAAGTTCAGCTACAGGACGCCGGAGAACAAACATGCCACCCTGGATCTGAACTCTTACCACCTGGCGATGGAGTCAGTGGAGGACGGAAATGAGGAGGAGGAAGGAGATCTGGGGTGTGAAGGGGAGAGCAAGCAGGTGGTGGAGAAAAGGATGTCCTTCAGGCAGCCGGTCTTTGAGACGGTGTCCACGTTCAGGCCCAGTGACTACCAATCCAGGCTGCTCCCCTCAGAGAACAAGCCCCTGGAGATGACAGTGCTTAAGAAGGCCAAAGAGATGCTGGTCAACAAGGATGTTAAGACCATTGCCAGGCACATCCTTCAGGCTGACTGCCAGGTACTGTTCTCCGAAGACACGAGTTTGATAGTTTCTAGGTTAGGTTTAAAGTTTTGGAAACTGATTCTATTGGAAATCTAAGAGAACAACTCTTACTGTTGTTAACAGATGAGGCAACAGGAAAGAAAGAAAAGGAATGAAAGCAAAAGCAGAAAAACAAGGGCAGTAGGGGGAAAACGTACTGAAATAAGGGCTGGCGTTATATAGGAGCCTGTTCTCTTGCATGCTTGAGGTTTTAAATGCATGCATAGGCTGCAAAGGTATCACACACTTGACGTGAGTCACCCGAAGAAAGCTCCACAGCCAAAACATTGTGTTTTCTTTCTGTTCTTTTCAGCATGGAATAAACCTATTACTGTACTTGTTACTTACTAAAACTGTATCTTAGTGTCCATTGCCATTTAAATGATAAACTAATTTAAATATGTATTGCTCATGCATAGAACAAAAAAGGTGTACTTCAAAATACCTAGTCACGCGTACATTATTTTTAAATCCATATTTTTCCTCTGTTCAACTAAGCTGGGCCAAGTTTTACTTAAGGAGGCTTGTCAGTATTGAAATAACTGGATTTCCAAAAACACAAACGTGTCTTGTAAAAATATTTAAAAAATTTAGAGGAGCGCATGCAGTTTAAACTGGAAATACAACAACACATAGGATATAGCTTTCACAAAAATACAGAAGGCATGTATGCATTGTGCTAAAAATAGGGTAAATGACCAAGTAATGTTCAGATTATAAGGAGTTACCGAGCTCTGAGACTGACTAAATGTAAATGAACTTCATTTTGGGTTATGAAAGTATAACTTTTTTACTGCAATTAAATTGAATATATTCTCTACAAAGATTCAATAGCACCCTGCCCTACTATGTTTAAGAACAGATGAATAGACAATAGAGCTGGAAGAGTGGCATTCATATCTGGGCACAAGTGAGCTGAAGCAGTAGCCAATTAAGAAAGTAATGATGTGGGAGGCTCTTGTGAGTCAGTCAGCTTCACAAACTCTCTGGCTCCCTGCTGGGCGGGGAGCCATCTGTGGCTGCCTGGGCTGAGATCTGCCACACAGTAGAGCTTCAGTGAGGCAAATATTTTAATTCACTTTACAGCTAAAAAACATAAACAACTACCATTCTGTAAAACCCATGACTGCATGTCTAGTCACCCGGAAAACATCTTTATTAGTGTTCGAATTTGCAGCCAGAGCTCAGGGCCTTATAATTTTTATTTATTGTACAGTGTATAAGTTATTCAGTGTTAAAACTGGCACACAAAAAATAACCTCAAATCTGAACTCCCCATTTTAAACAGCTGTGAATGTATATAATTTTAGTTATATCCTCTATTAGTGAAGTTTGGATAAATGTTGTATTTTAATAGGTATTATAACTTTTTATTATGTTTTTCCTTTGTTTACCAGATAATACCTAATTAAACTGCTTATTGAACTTGTGTGTTTGCCAGGTTGCTAGGATACTGAATGTCTCTAAAAAGGTCAAAGGGCAGATGGGAGTGAACTCTGGCCTAGAACTGGTTACCCTGCCCCATGGTGAACAGCTACGGCAGGACTTAATTGAAAGGTAATAATCCCGCAGTAAACTTAAAATATGTAGCCTAAAATGTGTTCTCCAATGAACTGCTCAACAGCATGGCTATTTAAAGTCCCCTTTTGAAATGCAGTCATTCAATATACCAAAATTACAAATCTCACAAATCTTTTGCTGGATTGTTTATTTTTTGCTTATTTTTCAACTATGGAATATTGTGCATCCATTTCAGGTTTCAATGACAATTCCATATATTATCCCAAAGAGCAAAGCACCTAAAATAGTAGTGTTAGCTAGGCTCAGAATAAAGAGACACGGGAATTAATATGTAATTGCAATGAGCTATGTTAAAGTAAACACCAGGTGTTTATCATCCTTCCTGTAGTTTAACATTGTCAGCAGACACGATGAAATGATAGCAGAGCCCTATACTCTGCTGACTTTATTATATGAGGTACTGTATATGACAGGAGTGCAGCTCATATTACTAACATTATGACCTAATTGTATTAAGTAATAGAACAATTTAAAAAAATTGATATAAAACAACATTCGGCTGAAATTTCATCCTGCATCCTTATACCAGCAACACAAGTTGTGCTGACGAATGAGTAATTGTTTTTAGGAGCTACAGTTCTAATGGAGCTATAAAGACTGCAGAAGGATGATTTAATAGTGCTGATCTCATGTTGTTTGCTAGAAATGGAATGAAGGATACATGGAGATTATTGCCACAGTATTAGAGTTTAGTTTACATGTTGGACCCCACAGGTCATAGGTCACTGCAATTTAGGGTGTGTCAGGAGATGACTTCTCCAGGCACTTCCACTGAGAATGTGTCCCAAGGGATGATGTCCAGCTGGACAATCCCTAAATCGGGCGGCTCAGAGAACTCTGTATTGGACAAGGTTTGTTAGAATTTTTATTCTCTTAATTGAGATCATTATCCAAAGCAACTTACATTAAACCGATTGAAAGAAAATTAACATAAGTGGTAAAAGCAAAAAGAAATCTGACAATACAAAACAAATGTCAAAATACAAATTAAGATACAGAATTTGTTTTAGATTACTGAAATGAATTGGAGGCTTTAAAGGTGCAATTACACTTGCATTCCATGAGTTTGTATACAGTGTGAAACGGCTGATGATATTTCTCCTTACGAATGGGCTGATGCTGTATAACACCATTACCTCTGTGCAACAGATTGACTCTTTCTACTCTGTGTTCCCTCTTGAACTCCTAAAGCGAGAATTCTTTGTTAAGCACAGAGACTTATCCAAGCACAGTCTGCAGTAAATGAAAAGGCAGGCAACTTCATTGTGTTACAGCACCCCCTGCAGGCCTTGCAAGGGCATTGGGGTCATCAGTGTCTTTTTGGGTGCATAAGCATGTTTTCATTCCTTCCATGCTTCTTTGTAGTCGACAGATTTTAATGCAATTTAATAATAATTCTAACAGAGGAGGCTTGAAAGGAATTGATCATGGCGTGCATGTGCGTGTTAAGAGAAAGAAAAAGTGACAGCTCTCCGTTTCTGCTTCAGACACAACACAATGGCCATCGGGGTGGCAGTGGATGTCCTGGGATGTACGGGCAGTTTGGATGAGCGGGCCGCCACGCTGAACAGGATCATTCAGGTTGCCATAGAACTGAAGGACTCAATGGGAGACCTCTTTGCATTCTCTGCAATCATGAAAGCCCTGGACATGCCACAGGTAAGGGGGAGGAGGTGAAGGGAGAAGTGACCGCTTGGCTACTGGGGTCTTAAAAACCATCTCTCTTCACAGCTACTGGAGAGTACAGCCATATTCGAACATGTTTCGGGGACATGTAACCTGTCTGGTCATTGACATTAATTTGATGTTTTTAGATTCTATAAATATGTTTTACGCAATACAACATTTATGTATAAGAATGCAACTAGTGGTTCCAGCAAATTTGATGTAAAACTAAAATCTTAAACAGTACCTTCAGGAATGGGACAAAACTAGGTGAAAACAACAGCCTACTATTAATCACAGCAAATAACCTGGACAGTTTTTAGAAAATGTCAGAAAATGTCTGGATTTGAACTGTTTAAAAACCAAGTATTTTCATAGTTTCACATAGAGAAAATGTCAATGATATCCCAAGAGAAAAAATAGTTTTCTTAGTAGGGCGGTTGTACATTACTGGTCAATTCCTTATCCAGACTTTTCATGAAGGCCCTGTAAAGGGCTGCTGTGCTCAGATAAAAGTGTAAAAGGAGAACAATTCTCGCAGCCATGCCACATGATAACTACTTACCTCTCCCCCCACAGATCACTAGGTTAGACCACACATGGACCACCCTGAGGCGCAAATACACGCAGACAGCCATCATGTATGAGAAGTCCCTGAAGCCATTTTTCAAAGGCGTATATGAAGGAAGTGGTAAGTAACTCATGGTGTTGAAACTGGCTCAATACTGAAAATACGACAGGGCGATTGGACAGTGCAGGTGGAGATCAGACAGGGCGACTGGACAGTGCAGGTGGAGATCACACAAGGCAACTGAACAGTGCATTTGGAGATCAGTCAAGTCTCTGTCAGGCATACTGTCATTTAGGAATGAAGTTGGAATTGACCATTTTAAATTCGGGAGGGAAATAATTTTCTCGATCCTTTTTGGATGTATAAAAATACTGAAACTGAGGCAGTTTTCAGTATATGCAACAGTACAAACGTATTCAGACTGTATTGATGACATAAGTGATTTGCAATAATAAATCATATAATTCGGCTGTAATTTCAGTGGACGTTCCTCTTAGCAACACCACAGTGCCCCTCCTGATGCCTCTCCTCACTCTCATGGAGCGCCCAGCAGTCACCTTTGAGGGAATGGACTTATGGGAGAGCAGCGACCAAGGATGTGAAATAATGATGAGGCACCTGGAAGCGGCCAGAGTGGTAGCGGAAAATGCCGACTCCTACAGTGCAAACGTGGAGCGTGTCCTTCAAGGTACGAACGGGTCCTTGTTGTGTTGTCTCCCTTAAATGCGGGCATGAAGCATCAGTGTCAGTCAAAGTCTCTTGTACATATTCAGTTATGTGAAATGTAGTGCACTGCTAAAACATGATTGATAGAATTCGTTCACCGATAGAACTGGCCATGTTAAATGCACTCTCAACACCCTAATAATTCAGAATCCCATTAAATTGGCACATTTATGGGCTATGGAAAAGCTGCTTATTTATCAGATGACGGAATTCATTAAATGTTGTTACTGTATATATACATTAAATTAAGGGTTATAAATCAATATGTACAAAAAAAGCCAAATATATAGTTATTGCAAGAAATTAACATGCATCTGTACTTAGTCAAAACAAATTCCATTTAATTCTTCATGTAATAAGGAGCTTTAAAAGGCAAGTCAATTTCTGTCGCTTTGCTTTCCCTTGTAGTACTGTTCGTTGGGACCAGATAATGATCAATCACGCCCTTTCCTTCCTCCGATTTAGATTTTCAGCCCAATGAAGACATGCTGGAAATCTTCAAGACTGACTTCCAGCTGAGGTTGCTGTGGGGCAGCAAGGGGGCAACAGTGAACCAATCGGAGAGATACGAGAAGTTCAAACTTATTCTCACGGCCTTGTCGAGGAAACTGGAGCCCCCTGTCAAGCACACCGAACTCTGAAATGGGGAAACAATTGATGACAAAATCACCAAAGCAAAGCTAGGGAAAGGAAAGGCATGACCCGGAGTGATGTCCCGGTCGGTTTTATGCACATTGTCTGTAATTGTGCAAGCCTTTCTGCTCATGTGGATGTGAAGAGGGAGTCGGGACTTTAGTCCTGGCATTGCTTGTATTCAAACTCTAGATCCTTGAACCAGCTCCTGGATGTAAAGTTAACACACCTTCTCAGATCAAGCCAAGCAAGGTCAGAGTTACTCTGCACAAATGGTTTGTTTTTTAAAAGATCATTAGAGAAAACCTTCACTTTACAGTAGTTTTTAACAAAACTATAGATGGCGTACAAGCTGCTTTTCTGTGTCCTAGATGACCACTTTACACACAAAGCATTGCGGATTCATTCCCGCTATCAGTCCGTCACAGTACCCTATTCTGGGGAGTCAGAGTCATCAGATGGGACATATGCATCTCTGAGACCATGCGTATGCGAGGAACATGAAGAAAAAACAGAACGTCAACACAAAGAGGGATTTTAGGTGAAATTTTCAGGAGGCAAAACTCCATTATGGTTCACTAAAACAGTGGGTAACAATGAACTGTAGCCCTTTCCAAAGGGAATGTTTTTGTAAGAAAGTACTAAAAAAAGTAGCTTTGCCAGTTAAAAGGGCAGAAACTACACAGGGGATCATAGGAAAAGTGGGCTGGGCTGCCTGCCTGGGCTGTTTAACTGGAACACACGATGGTGTTGGACAGCTGCTGACGACGAGGGAGAAACAGCTGTCCGGGCAGGAAGTGAAAAAGCCAGCAATTGTGTGATAATTCATGAGCGAGATCAAGTGCAACTTTTCGTTCAGGATTAAACTGCACTGCATGTTGGGACTTGTGTTTAAACAGCTGTTGAAGAATTAAAGAAAAGTATTCTGCAACAGCCTGAAAAATTAAAACTGGTTAAAAACAATACCAGATGACTGTTGTTGCCGGAAATATTTTGTTCATATATTCGTTAGTTGATGTGAAGTATTATAATACCCAGAATACCGATAAATGGACTGCAGTCTGTACACAATTGAACTGTTGGCTCTGTACACAATTGAACTGTTGGCTCTCTTATGAGCATGTGAATGTGAGACTGTGTAATATATTTTTACGCTAAAATATCATTAACATGTAAATAGTTATATATTAATTTTATCTTTGTATGAAATATTGTGGGAAATTAAAGAATAAATGGGTAAATGTGTAATCACATGGCCAACTGTGCTTCATGAAAACAAAACTCACCTCATTTTAAAATTTCAATCAAGTAGATACTGTTAATCAGAAAAAGAAACATGGATGCTCTAGGATTTTGTTTTTGTTTTATTAGAACAAAATTCTCAACAGAGAACAGGACTTTTTTCCCAACAAAGTCGCTCACAACAATTAAGATTTTCTTTAAAAAAAACATGTGCACAACATGTAGAAATAAAACCACCGCCACTAGACTCTGCTCGAGAGCTGCGTTTATAAGTTGGCATACTCCATTTCAACGTTTCCTTTAATGCGGGAGGGGACAGAAACTGCTAGAGCCACTCTCCTCTGTGTAGGAATTTCTGACAGCTCTCGTCTTCATTGTATCTTCTTTTGTGCCCAATATAATAATAATAAACAATCCCTTGCATTACCTCATGCTTTTCATCCCAGTGGATCCCGTTGAAGTTTCATCCACCACTGAAATTCAGCACCCATTCTGGGCAACCGGCAGCTGTCATTCTGCTTGTGTGTATGCAGATCAGATAGGGAAGTGAGAAACTGCTTTACCAGCTGAATTATGGGGATGTTAAGGAAGTCAGAGATAGAGGACAAGCTCACACACAGGACAACACATTCTGACATTTGTTTTGCCTTACATGTTGAAACAAGTGAAGTGTATTGGTGGTCATATTTCCCTTTGACAGGTACACAAGTTAATCAGAAGTATTATAGATCACTGACTTTAGGGATCTGTGCATATACCTACAAAAAACTGCACTTCTCAAACATTACAGCACAGAGAAAGTGAGGTTAACACTTATACAATGAACTCTTAGACCTCTGCACTGGTTACCTTTCTATGATTTACCATCCCCAGCTTAATTGTGTAACCTTGTGTTTAAGACCTTCGAGGGGGTAACTATTAGGTACAACAAGCACAACTCTTTAAAAGGTGAGATTTTCTGAGGGGGTATAACAAAGAATTAGCCATAAAACGCTGAAAAAGAGCATGATCAAATTATAAGCACATTTTCACATCAAATCATTTCTACCTTTTTCAAACTTTCCAAATCTTCTCCCAGTGATGAGCTGCACATCTCACTTTGTCACAGATCTGCAATGATTTAAAAGCACCTTCCACTGAGAACTATTGGAATGGTCTGGTGTCTTAAAAGCCATCCAGAAGAGACAAACAGCAGTTGCGGACAACAGAATATGGAAAGGAGGACCTAGAGTGTACATAGTGGTTTTCACAATCAGGCCTCATTTTAGACTGCAAATGTCATAAGACACATTAAAATGTCTGATCAGGCTAACAAGAGAATAAAAATGGGAAGCTCTTACTATCAATATATTTCAGACACAACCCATTCCATAAAACATTTAAGGATATCCACAAGTTTTCAGATTAATTTTCAGAAATCAGAGTATTCAGGGGGAATAATGACTGCTCAATTAACTTAATTTCTTCCTTGTTCAGAAATTGACAGCAGTCTGTCTTTACAATCTATGATTGGGGTAGTTTCAATAACTTGAAACCAGAATAACTTGAAACCAGAATGGCAACCAAAAGCAAAATAACACCAAAATATATTCTTTTTATATATTTAAAGGCCATACATTTAATACAGACTTTCCTTTAAGAATACGCGTGTGCACTTCTGTTTCAAATGCACTCCCGGCAGAACAAAAGCAGATACATTTCTGAAGACTGAGAAAATAAAAAAGTATCAACATGTATCTTTCACAGTTTTAAATATTAGGGCTATAGGTTAAAAAGAGGGGAAAAAACTACCATGTATTCGGTTCACACAGCCACAGATAATGACATGTACCAGTTCAACAAACCAAAACTAAACTGAGAAGCCTTCACTTGAAATATGCTTGACTATTTCATTAGCAATTAAGGAATTACACAGATACCCTGTCGGCTATTTAGTCTAAATATCTGAAATAGTTACCATTTCATCTCGGTTTCAAAATTATTAAATAAAAAATGTTAGAAGTATCAAAAGAATCTACAGGAATAACCTGATGAAAGAAGATTTTAGCATTTTAGTTTAAAATGCACTTAAAAAGTCCATACCAAAACAGTCATGGTGGTTACTGCTGTCTATTTACATTTATACAAAAAGCAACGTCCATATTTATTTCTTTAGACTTGATAGGGCAAAAGTGCATTTAGTTAAGATATGAGCAGGTCCCTATACAGAAGCACGTCTCAAAGAAAAAAAAGACTGCAATCATGTCACGATTCCAAAAAACAGGTTGTTCATCTGATTAAAAACCCCATAAAAAGGTAATAATAGAAACACATTCAGTATGAAATAAGGTGTTAATACATATCAATGTCCAATAACAAAGCAATATTTATACATACAATATATGTGTGTGTTAAAAACAAATGCTTTCTTGAGATGCACCAATCACTGGAAGTGGTTCTGAAACCACAGGAGAGGATAAACAGATCCACCAGAGCATAAAAGAAGAGATCTCAACAAATTCCAGAAAAGCACCGTAATACACCAGTGCTTAAATAAATGAAGCCCTTGCGTCGCTTTTTATTGGATTGGCACTCAGCAGATTTAGGCACTCTTCCACCGTAGAGCTGTATTAAGGCATGGATTGCTTGGAGAGTCTGGAGTGTCAGTGGGATTTGGTCCTTCACCTTTGTCCAGTGAAATCTCTTCTTACACGTTGCACTGGTACTCCAGGTCCGCAGAAAAAGGGCTCCCTGTGGCACTGCCAGCCCCGCCCCAGCACAGGCTGCTGGGAGGCTAGAGGAGGTTCCCCCCTTTGCTGGGCAGCCCCAGAGACCAGCTGCCATTCTGCTGTTCTGCCACTGACCGAGAGTGACGTGCTTGTGCATGGTGCAATGAACTGAGTTATAGCAGCGCAAATGGGGGAAAAAAGTACCGGAACGTAAATGTTTTGAGAGGAAAAGAGAGGAAATAAGATGTGGGATTTGATGACGATCGAACACAGGCTTAGATGCACATGAATCACACATTTAAACATGATGCCATGCGAACAATCCTGAATCTCAACCTAGGAAGATGTTTCAAAGACATGCTGTGGCATGTTAAGGGCAAAGCATACAGGCTGGCACAGGCAGACATTCCACACTGTAGGATCAATGAAAAAATCCTACGCATCAGTGGTCAAGACAAGGGATTAGGGTTGGTTCAAAATCAAGTTCAAAATTGCCTCAAGTTGTATTTATTTATCCAAGAATTTATCCATTTTGTCCTGGCAGAGGCTACAATTCTTTTTAGATTCATTAAATCATTTAAATCATTTCTCTTTGGGTTCAGGAAATTCTGCTGCCACCCACTTGTATATCAGGCCAGTGCCTTACTGTAGCCAGCGATCGGTTAAGTGTCAGTTCTATGCATTTCAAGCGTGGAATGGCAGGAGAGCGTGGCCATGTTACACAAGTGTGTAACATGGACAGTTGTGGCAACCCTCCTTTCGGACAGAATGGCGTTAATGTCAATGGATGTCTGCATGCAAACATGCAACCTCCTTCTAAAGCTCCTGGCTGGCCCCAGCTAGGAGCCTGCCCCCTCCCCCTCCCAAGAGACAGAAAGCTGCATGTACCCTCCTTCAATGACTCGCCCACAGTGACAGAAACCCACTCAGCCACTCAGGAACCTGCAGTCCAAGAGGAGAAAAAGAAATCCATTACTAATCCCAGCAGAGAATAAGACAGCCCACCTGTTCTCATGGACGAAAGACACCCCCAGGATGTACACAACAAAACAAAACATCGGCGCCAAAACCGAAAATTTGCACCAAAAAACTTTTCTTGAGAGAAGTGTGAAATATGACAGGTTGTGAACCTAGTGAAAGCACTAGTAGTTTAGAATATTTCCCCCCCCCCAGTTTTGGAGAATTAGCTGGAGATCACTTTGGAGTTAAAGTACAGCACATTTTTTAATGGAGCGAAAAGCTTTGAAGGCAGTGCACACCCAGCAGGAAGCATCACTTCTGATATCTTCAGATTAGTGTTTCCTTAAATTCCCAACAATCCTAGAAGCACTGTGCTCTGCTGGCTACCATTTCAAGCCTCCAAACTCACTGCATTAACCACCTGTAGTAAAAATAGGTTCAAACCGGGTAAGTGCCAAATTCCGTAACATAGGAAGAGCACACATTAAACAAGCATCTTTTGCCTTGGACGGATCTCCTTAATTAAGTACATTAATACATCTAACAATAACTGGGCTGACCTGGCAAAGACACGTCACAGAGGATGTATTAATAAGAATACCGCTGTAGTAACTGCTTTCCATTAGCAAATGACAATTTCAGGAGGACGTTCGCATTTAAACACAAACCTGGCAAAAGCAGTGTACAAATGGGTCTCATAGAAAATTTAATAAATACCTCAAGAGATAATGTGAAAAGAACCATACATCTGTGCCATCAGTACAAAACATACGTCACACAAATCTCCAGCCATTGCGTAAAGCACACTGGGGTTGTAATACATCTTTAGTTCTGATTCTTGAAGTAATTACAGTAGATATGTAGAAACTAGAAAATAAGAACCTGGGCCATCAATCACAGGCACAGTGTGAAAAACAAAAGTGAGTGGGGTTCCCAGGTGTAAAATATCATATGAACTCATGAGTATGTTAAATAAGTTAGCATTCCCTAAGAGAAAAAAGAGTGATACATGCTCTAAAACAAGAGAGGTAAATTCAGTAACAGTAAAGAAGAATCAAATCAGGCTCATTTCAATGAGATCAACCACATTTAAAATGTATTTAAAAACATGTAAAATTAAAGACATTTTTAAGATATCCAAATAATTGTTCATTCATTTGCTGATATTAAAACATATAAAATACCCAGATCCCTTATAAACATTGGTTTTTTTCAACCATTAAGGCCTTTAAAAACCATCTGAATCTCAGGGATGCAGAAGAGACACATTAATACATCTGTTTGCTGGACTATTCCCAAGTAGAGCTACACTTACTTTAATAATAAAAAAAAAACTTCCTTGGATTAAAACAAAAACACTCTAGATGAGCTCACACAGTGAACAGAGCAGACAGGCCACTTCAGCGCAGAAGCCTGAGGTATCTGAGACAAGGGTTTGTGAGGAGGGCTCAGTTCATTTCGAGAGGCGAGACGCCCCCTGGAATTCAGATGTAGGTTACTGCACCTTTGCTATTTTTCTCCAGAGTGATGTCCACGTAGGACGTCGGCACATAGCCCTCCTCACCACCCTGCTTCCGTGCTCGTGTCCAGCCATCGCCTTTGTCCTCCTCAATGATGTAGAGCACCTCTCCTTCCTTCATCGCCAGGGTGCCTTCGTTTTGACCTGCCAGAACAGGAGCCACAGGGTACATACGGTAGTTTACATGACCGACTTCTCTGTGCAACTAAGAAATTCTATGCAGGTGTGTAACACAGGAAGAGTACTAAGAAAACTTTTTTTAAAGTCATTCACTCCTTCCTAATTCCTTACATTTATTAAGCACTCCACTTTAAATGTAATGGGACTCCCCTCCAACACCACCAATGTATAGTCCCAACCTGGATGAGGAGATGGCAGCCAAAGTGCGCCAGTATGCTTACCACACATAAGCTATCAGTGGGCAGGAGAATGGAGTGATGAAACCAGTTCATAGATGGGGATCATTAGGATGCCATGATTGGCAAAGGCCAGGAGAGACATTTGGCCAGAAGACACCAGGGTTAATACATTTACTCTTTAAGAAAGAGTAAGAAACACTCTGGGTTTTTTAAAGACCACTTAGTGTCAGGACCTCAGTTTAATGTCTCATCTGACGGATGGTGCCTTTTTTTTTTTTTTACAGTATAGTGTCCCTATCCCCATCTCTATACTTGGGCATTAGGACCCACACAGACTGCAGGGTGAGTGCTCCTTTCTGGTCCCACTAACACCTCTTCCAGCAGCAATCACAGCTATCTCAGGAGGTCTACCCAGCTTCATTGTCCAGCCAGCTGTGAGTTGCAGGGTGATATAACTGCTGGTTATATATAACTGACCCAGACAGCACAGACAAGCAGTGGTCAAACTTTCTATACCTAAGGCCTAAACCCAGGAAAGAAGAAGCCTGGTTAGATACAGTATATCAATGCAACAATATCATCTTATACTACATTCAAGATGCCAAACATACAGATGGAAATGATTTCTTCACTTAGTTTGCAAATCCAGCTCAAGTTTACCTAGAGCTAGAAAAAGTGGGGTACACATTCCCCTGGAGCAGAACAATTTGCAACAGCCTGGCACTGGTCTGTGCAGGTCACAGCGAGATGCCACATGGCAGTCATTGGTGAACAGGTGTCTGCCAGCTTGAAAATATTGTGAAGCCAAAGAACTGCAGATCTTTACCGAAGGCTGGACTCAGAAATTCGTCCCATGAAGTTTCCGGCACACAAATGGACAAACAGTCCAACGGCATTATAACTAACAGTATTCCATGATTATCATTTCTGCAGCTGTACGTTAGCTGCCAGATAATTACTGTAGCAATGTGGCAGATGTACAGTAGGTAACTACAAGAAGCAAAGTTCATTTTCTCTTGAACTATCAGTCCTGAAAAAACACCCTTCACCCTGCCACACTGCGCTCAGACACTGTTCCATTTCATACCATCGAAGGCATAGAGTGCTTTGCAATGTCCGATCGCAGGCAGCGGGTCGTCGTCATCAAACTCGTCATCAAACTCGTGCGGGTCAGGCTGTGGAGGACTCCTGTGCTCCTGACTCGGGTCCTCTGTGTAGCTGCCCTCCGGGCTGTGAAAACAAACCATAGCCGTGACGACCAGGGGAGCAATGGCTGACCTAGTTCTTCGTTTCAAGTGGCCTTTGAGAAACAATACTCTCTTAAGATGAGTGGTCACAAAGCACTGCCAAAGCAGATATTAATTAGCTGTTTAAAAAGATGAGTGACTTCCTTCACATTATTTGCTTCCTATACTTTGTGTTGCCTCTGTGAAAGAGGCCTTCCTGCAGTTAGCAGTTCACCGCTTAAAGTTAAAAAGAGAAATGGTCCATCAGGCTGTCCCGAAAGGCCAATTGTATATTTCACTTTGTATAATTTGAGGATAAAATATGTATTTCAATCTAATCTATGATTAAAAAGTAAAACTCTAAGAAAAGAGTTATCACTTTTCAAAAACGATAAAATTTTAACTTAAATCCATTATAAGAGTGCAAACAATTAAGGAACAGTCACAGTCATTTTACAATTGTGTAATGGAAAATTCCAAAAAGAACTTAACTTTCATAATATTTTACTTACAAATGCAGGTATAACAAAATGCTTAAAACATTATAATGAAAGCACTGAGCTTGAACAGGTCTTAGGCATCTATGCTGACGTCATTTTCACCTTCAGGAAAAGGCAGGGTGAGCAATATAAAAGGAAAACAATGGAGATACAGGTGCTCCCCGACTTATGTAAATTAGACTTGACATAAGTTGTTTGCAGCCTCATTCTTGTTCTTCACTGTCTATTGTTCATATCTTCTCCAATGTGTGGGCAGAATAATTTCTGCTGTATGTTTGTATGACTGAAAACTGTTTCTAGAGATGTGAAAAACAAGTAAACACTAGCAATTAAGGAATGTGAAGCTCTGTTACTTTTGTCACAATGCTCTTTGCTTGATTAGTTTTATTACTGTTGTGTTCATATAAAGTATGTTGGCAAGTGGAGAAGTAGCAAGAGGACAACAGGGTTGCATGCTCACAGGGGTTTATTGTCTTGAATAATTAACAGGTGCAGCTACTCAGGGACCAGAAAGTATGCAAGGTCGCTAACACCTCATGTGTCACAACACAGGAAGAGGTCTACCCATTCTGTAGACTTCAGAGAGGGAGAACGGTAAAGAGTCCCAGCACGCCATCAGCGTAGAATATTGTAATAATTATCTAACAGTGGAATTTTGCATCATTTCATAGTTAAAGACTAACTTACTCTGGCAGGACAGAAGAACAAAATCTTTGTTTTGGGAATTGCGCATCTTCATACATGCAACGTCTTAAGTTGTTCCCCCATATACATTTTATTTCCCCATCAAGGATGAAACAATTGTTCCAAAAGTGAAATCTCTCTGTCGCAGGGAATGGAAGGGGCAAATGGAAGCACAGCCCCAGCCCTGAAAACCAGACCGGTGTGTCAAGTTCCCAGGGTGCCTCACCCACCTCTCTCGCCCGTGTGGAGTGTGGTGGTTGACCTCCGCGCTGGGGCGCCGGTCGCCTCTTGCGCTCTGTTTACCTTCCACCTCAGACAGCCAGGCCTGCAATGAGGACATCAGTCAAGCCCCGGGGGCTCCTGCCCCCTCCAGCACGCACCACATCTCCTTCAGTGGACTGTACATCAGTGGCATTGTTTTACATGAAAAGCACCCCCATTACTGACCTGCTTTGCAAAGTAGGAGTTTGGAATGATCAAACTGTGAATCTCTTAGCTTCTCAGCCTTTGTATTAGTGGGGGAGGGGTAATAGCTTTGCGGGGGCTTTTCTGAGAACAGGCACTATCAGAGCCTTCAACAGGACCAGTAAGAAGTCACCAGCAAAATAAGGAAGAAATCGCTTCAGTGGGAGATGAAGTCCCCTCCTATACTTAAAACACTTCGGGAATCTTTTGGATGAACTACATAAATACAAGAAATTATTTATTATCTATGAATTGGCTTCATTACTCTCTGCTCTCTTCCCCACTAATAGCTGATGTGTGGTGAGCGTTCTGGCGCACTATGGCTGCCGTCGCATCATCCAGGTGGATGCTGCACATTGGTGGTGGTGGAGGGGAGACCCCATTACCTGTAAAGCGCTTTGAGTGGAGTGTCCAGAAAAGCGCTATATAAGTGTAAGCAATTATTATTATTATTATTATTATACTTATATTTTTGTCATGCAATCCATCACAGCACCAGAAAACTGAACACAGCCTCAGAAGAATAACATCAACTTGGTATAAGCCTGCTTTGCTTCTTGAATTAAACTTAAGGAAATTAACAGCAACACATATTGCTACATAAACGTGTACAAACAATGGTTCATATTGTGTTCCACTGATCTTGTTTAGCTAGATGAGAAGAAATGGCAACGTTCAGCCACATGGGGGCGCTATTGACATGTTCTCAAAGCCACCTCCTAACATTCTTAAATCACATAAAACCAAGTGGAAGTAACAATGTGCAGCCATTACAGCACTCGGAGCTCACATTAACCCTTTTCAGTCTATTCTCACAACCTAATTTAATTGTATCCCTGTTCTTCCACTTTTGTAAAAGAATCTAATAATTAAAAAACGTCTAAAATTAAATGTTTTTTTTTACATCTGGGACACAGCCAAAACTAATAAAAAATATTTCGAATAGTTCGACTTCAAAACACAAAACGTAAAGAACAATCCGACAAAAAGATCAACACAGTCAGAATTATATTGAGTATGAAGTTAACTTTTTTAGAACATGTTTTTCAAAGCTATTTTTGATCCAATCTTAACACTTAGAAGGGCAAAAACCTATAATTTATAACAAAAAAGATTTAAGAAAACTCTAAATAGGAAATGTTAATGCCTTAGAAAAACAGTCCCTAAGGTCTTCGGGAATGCACTGAAATGGGCCACAAATACCATTCCTGGCTTTCTTAATTTACCAAAAAACAGATATTGCAAGGATCCTAACTAGCAGTGATCAAAGTGTTTTCAAGTGAGTTTTCACAAAAGACACTACTCTTGAGTGAGAGCTGTGTGATCACTGAAGGCAATCTTGTGCTTTCAACAGAACAGTGTATGTGTACCAATTTTAGTCTGAAGGGAAATCTCATCAAGGCATGCACTGTTAAGTAACAGAACTCACAGAGAGCCAGACGTCTCTCAGGACAGAACATTGTGAAGGAGTTACCTCATTTTTGTGAATCTCCACTCGGAGGCGCTCTATGTTGCTTATGGTCTCAGCTATTTTGGGCTGCAGACTTCCAGGGTCTCCCATCTGAGGGCTTTTCTCGTAGACGTCTTTCATCTTGTTCAGTGCATCTCTGCAGACACAAAAGAACAAAGAGCAGGCTGGGATAATTATACTCTAAAAAACAGTTCTCAAAAGCTGAAGAATAATTTGTTACATACCAACCCCCCCAATAAAAACAAACTGCACAGCTTCCAATCCGAAATGCCAAAATAACAGAACGAGTAAAGTATTTTATGGTGATGTTCCAAATGAAGATGACCTAATAGTTTAACAGGGAAGCTGAGCAACTAGAAGGATATAAATACAACCCTATGTTTTGACTCAACTTGTCTTTCAAACTGCAAAATACAAAACAAGTTCATTAGAATATATTCTTTCTGTAACATCGGTTTTAAAGAACAACTACACTTTGAAAATCCTACATATTTGTTCATGCGAACTGAGTTTCAGCAGCTGTTAGAAGAGAAGGTGACAGCTGGAGTAGCTGATCCAACACCTGACTGCTTTACTCAGGCATGCAGTCGCAGAGTTTTGGACTACAGTCATACCCACCACCAGGCAGTTACCACGACTGTCTTAGTTCATCTGTCCTGGGTCGTAGTCAGGCCCTTACCTTTGGTCCACCTCTTTCTGCAGCTCTTTGTTGAGTTCATCAATCCTCTGCTGCAGTTTCTTGCGCCTCTGCTCAGGGGGAAGGTGACTAAAATCCTCCAGTGCTGGCCCCTGAAAAAACCACAACCCAGGATAAGTACAGTATTTTCCAGTGAAGCATTAAAATAAAACAGAGGTACACTCAGCTTCCTGCAGCAAGCAAGAATGAGAGAGGGTCAAAGGTCAAGATCAAGGACTAGGCGGACAGCGCCCAGGTCCACACAGCAGAGAATGGCATGACACTCTGCGAGTTCTTCCCCAGCTCAGATTCTGCTGCATGGAACTGGAATCCCAAGCACACTATGGAAAGCACATGTCTCACTGTTTGAGAAAGAGGAAGCTAGGATGTGAAGTCTTAGGAAACCAGCACATCAGATCCATGCTCAAGAACACACATGCACGCCGCAGAAAGAGCTTACCAGCTTTACTGACCACTGAGTCATGCATATGGTTTTCAATTAAATACAGAAAACAAAAATTAAAAAAACATATCTTAAGAGTATTAATTCCTTTTATTAAAAGTGCTTAAATGTGTCAAAATTCATCTTCCTGCTGATTGCAAACAGAGGCTAGGTGGTTAAAGCAAATAGCTTATAACCAGATGCTTCCCAATTCAAAGAAGCTCTGCCAGGAAACTCATCAGCTACTGGGCTTCCTTGGGCTCTGATCTTTGATGATGTGTCAAACAAGGTCCTGTTATCAGAGCCTCTGCAGCGGCAGTTACTCATGCATAACTCATCTCCTAATCTCTGCAAGTCACTATGGATTCAAGCATGAGCTAAATGACTAATGATTACTATGATTATTACCAATCACCAGGACTCCAACAGAGAATCAGATGTGGGAATTAGCCAATGTTTTTATTTCCAATGGAAAATGCAGTTTTGCAGAGAGCAATCCGTATAGAAAAATTTGACAGAGTCACGGACAGACCCACGACAGTGAGTAAGCTGTTAGGTTTTTGAAAGTGGCTGGTTTAATCAGATAATGGGCAAAGCATCAGCTTTCAGCCATAAGGACAACTGAAGCAGTGGTGGGGTGTGGGGAGTGGCTGAAGGACCACTGTTTATTGAGATTGAAAGACCCCAGCTGCCAGTGCACAAGGGAATGCAGTCTGGGACCCGGCAGCATTTAGTGACACAGTGCATCTACCTAGTGCATGCAGGCGATGCCAGAAACCAAATGAAATGCATTTGTAATGGGGCGGAAGATTCCTTTTAACTTAATTGCTTTTGAGGTCAAGCAATTCTAGCAACAGGAGTCAGCCATCTGACAGACATCCATATGTCACCAAAGACAAAAACACATACAGACTGCTACTGCGCAGGATCATTTCTTCACAGCAGAGAACCATATATTATTTATTGCTTTGTTAAATCAATACTGATCATCTCCTGGCTCAATCAACTACATCGCTTTGGATGGAGTAGAGAAGACCCTCACAAGCAAGCCTTTATGCTGGCCTCCTGTGTTTATTAGAGGTAGTATAGAGGATAGGTAAATGCTTCAGCTACTCTGTAAGTCACAGGTTTTGACAAATATTTAAGGATATTTAAGCTGCTTCTAAATTTCTGAAGCTACCTGCTCCCGAATTGAGTCCTTAATGCTTTGTTAATATTGACATATATTTTGTTTTTCTTTTTCCATATTAAGGCACTGTAGCAGCTGAAACAGATGACTGATTAATTAACTGTACAGTTCTGTAAGATTCAGCCCACATGAGACCAACTGAAACTTTGTTCTGGTTGCCATTATGTAAAACAGTGGGTCTGTGTGCCTTACAGATTCAATGCAAACCTGGCTTAGCTATTTCCAGCTGTTAGGAAGAGAATCTATGACCGTCTTGATTCAGTATGTCATTCCTCTTGTACTTTCAGGACAAGGGCCCTGTGGCAAGAATGGCAGAACCTGAGGTCACAATGTCTTTCTTGGTACAATGTGGCTGTTATTGCTTTGAATATATTGGCTTGAGACTAAGCTGAAGTGAATATTCCTATGTTTTGTTCTAAAAAGATTCCATGTTTCTGTTGATCATTTTCTCTTTCCTGAATGGTCAATTTTCACCTGCCGGATCGCAAGAGAAATGGGAGGGCAGCCTGCTATGATCATTTCCCACAGCCCTCCATGCATTCAAATCATTCAGCTGCACTGTCATGATGGAGTGAAAACAGCCACATTCCCAAGGAGTGGATTATGGGTTTTGGTTACAGTGATTAATTAGGCTTGGCTATTGAAATCAACATTAATCTCATGACAAAATGGAAATGAAAAAAAAACACACACATCCTGGACAAATACATAGAAAATAGAAACTAAGTCTGAGTACATAAAACTATCTTAACCAAGTAAAAACAATTATTTGGTGGACTAGATTGAACCAATACAATAGGGCTCAAAATAGGACCGCCCTTGAATAATTGAAGTTGTTAACAGAACCTCATTGGTTTGAAAAGGTAATCTTTTTTCCATGTTCAGTTTTAAGCAGAAGACATCCCTTCTTCAGAGACTGATGTCACACACGCCTGCTGCTCTAAGGAGACTTGTTGTGAGGTCATTAATGGACAAACGCCAATAAAAAACCTATTTTTGAATTACTTCTGCCTTCCATTAGCAAAATGAGTCATCCTTCTGTCAGAATAAATGAACAGCTATGTAATGAACTACCTTAAATCAATGCTCCAACACTCTGCTGGCTACGGTTACATCAATTTCTCTATGTAGGTGTTAAAAATTAACAAATGACAAGAAGTGTGCCAATAAATCGTGTTGCCACTGGAACATTAGCTTGCTGACATTCTTTTCTTCCGACAATGAAAACACAAATCCTAAACAACCTCCAACTTAAATCTCAGGTTTTACAGAATCCTAAATTACACGTGTAACTCAATGAACACTGCTTATTAGTTGTTCTTATCGTTTCATAATGGGCTAGATCTTGAAAAGATAGATTTTATTTTAATATTAAGTAGTACTTATGGAAAGACTAGAAATTTGTGACCGCTACATTCAAGTATGCATACTCGTAACATCCCTACTTTCTGAAGCCACCAGATTATAGAATTTTAAAAAAGCAGACTTATTCCAATGATTTGGTGTGGGTGACAAGTCATATCTTTCTCCTTAACAAAGATTTTATTAAAAAAACTGGAAGCACACAAGTAATTTGATTTGTCTTGTTTAGCTAAACTGCAGACATGCTTGGCTCCATGTTAAAGCACCAAAGAAAATGGTCCTTGTGCTGTAATGTGTAAGGACTAGAACTGTGCTAATTTTGGGAGGTATGTACATTTTGAAAGAGAGACGCAGGTCTGTAGATAAGACAATCCAATACAAAACCACAGCAAACTCAACTCCACACGTGTTCTTACCCCTCTTTTCAGGCCCCTAAATGAAGGGATCCTGGGCTTTATTGTCTTCATTTCACAGAGACAGTAAGCTATAGGGTCACTGGCAAATTTGGGAGACTGAATATCACTGAAAGTGAAGGCAGGGCAGGAGTGGGGAGGGGAGGAGGGTGGAGACTGGGGCAACAGAAACAAAACATGAGCTAGTTGCCAAAATCAACCATGAATTCACAGTAATCTGTAGAAAACAACAAAAAATACCCAAATGTATTAAGAACTGTGCTTAAAAGGTTACTACTGTTAAAGTGAAATAGGGTTCTCTGAAATAAAAGATATGTGTTGACTTAAATATACTTATTGACCAGTGACCTCAACAACTTGCTCACCCGGGCAAGCTCTGATCATGATATTGTAACCATTTAGAAATCAGGGGGTCATTCATGCTTGCTCGTGTTTAAAGAAGTGTGTGGGAAATTCCTACAGCTTCATTCCGAAAACAGGAACGCTAGCCCTGTAGAAGGAGTAGGTTTTCATCACATCTTTGATGATTTCATAACACTAAGTAAGAGGATCCTATCGATACGATACTCAATTTCGTTCTAAATACATTTAGCCAGTGAAGAACCAGTTAGAGAAAAGGATAACATTAATCACTTCAGGATTATTCTGTAAAAATAAGTGGAGCATCAAGTTACTGTTTGGAAAAGAGGATGATTAATCTGGCAAATTAATGTGTCACTCTTAAAACAGAAATGGGAAGATCCTATTATTACCTTTAGGAGTGTATTCAGCACAGGCAAGGTCAAAGTTTAACTAGGTGGTATTTCTCAAAATGTTATTAAAAACTATGGTTAATAAATAACAGGAAATAGGTTCTGTGTACAATATATTACTGATTTACAGGCATTCCTATCACAGTACTCAGCCTCCAGAACTTCTGCTGTGAGTACAGCACATCTCTGCTCTTGCAGATAAAAAAAGCTGTTGAAAAGAAATGTTCACACTAACAGCAAGATAACTGAAGTAGCTGGTAAAATCACTTCACTGAAAACACAAACAAGTGTACAGAAATAAGGGCTGACTACTGATTAAAAGCACTGTGTCTAAGCTGCTGGTGTGCTGGTGAAAGCAATTATTTAATCAAAGAGGAAATGTCAAATCACAGTTCTGTCAAGACTTTTATCTCTTTATTTCAATCTCCTCTAAATACAGATGCCTTTGGACAGTGAGTAATGTTCTGCATTGACCGTCTCTTCTGACTGGATTCGTGCTTCTACTACACTTCTCAGACAATCATGATGGGAAGCTGTCCTGTTATGTGCGAGGCAGAGTTGGTAAATTGCTGATAAATTTTAAAAGACTGAACACACTTGCAGAGTGTTTAATATTAGGCAAAAGAAGGTTAATTTCACACTAATTATAAGAATTAAGAGAATAAACCATGTTTCAGCTGTTGAGCCTTCTTAATGTTGGTGGGAGAGAGAGAGTAAGGTAGCAGGGAGAGGCAAAATGAGGTCCCATTTCACTTCTTCCAGCCAAGCTTTCACAACTTTCGCTCTTTCCTTTAATAGGTATTTCTCAACTCTTAAAGCCAGAGAAGCCGAGACTATACACTTAAAACTTGGATTGCATCTTTCCCATTCTCTCAATGATAGACTAAATTGTTTTCAAATCCTCTTCATCCATTTACAAATTTCAGCTTTTCACACCTCTCTCTCTAATCTCCCTTTGTGAGCACATTCTCACCTGTTCTGCTCTTTGTTCTCTTGAGCTCTCTCTCTGTCCCTGCTACCTTGCTCTCTCATACCTGAAGAAGGGTCAACAGCCAAAAGGATATGTTTTTCTACTTTGCTGCACTGAATTATCCTTTACTTATTTCTTTGCAGCCAACAACCACAGTTCCTCATCGAAATGTCTTCAACATATATTTAAACAAACAAGGAAACCTAAGGTTTAGAAATCTGAAATACTACCTCCTAGTTTTGTTAGATCTATATGCATTTTAAACAGAAGGAGATTTCAAGTTTCTCTGACTTAGCAACAAACCCAGGACATTTCCCTTTGGAAAGTGAAATTTGCAAGCAGTAATGTGAAAAACACCTGGAAGTATCAAACTCCCCCACCTTGGGTTTCTTCCCAAACAGCCACAGCTTGTTCTTGGCCTTCCCCAGCGAGTGCTTGGGATCCGTCTTCATGGTGTCAATCTTAGGAGTGCTGATAGTTCCGTCGGAACCTGACCTGTAGATGTTCTGGCTGAAATCTTCGAAAGGGAAATCCCCAGGTGGTTCAAACCCAGATTTGAAGGATTCCACCACTATCAGAGAATCCTGGAAAAAATTATACGGTCAGAAAAATATCAACCAAAAATCCCTGATGCATGAGACTTGATATAAAATTAATAAGAATATAGTTTACAGACACTGCCAAGCCATACTGATACGAAGAATTAAACAATGTCTGCTGTCTAACTACAACCTATTGGCAGGAACACATTAACAGTAATGTTGAACAAACTGAAAACATTCAACATTTTGATCCATTTATGCTCAACTGGTGATGTACAACCAAACTCAGTTAATACTTTTGTAATGAATGCTTTCAATACAAAGTAAGAGGTTCAACTGACATGTGTAGTTAATACAGTTAACTACAAACTTTGACAGGCACATCCAAAATAAACATTATCTGTCAGTGTCCGGAAACAGAATGAATGCTGTGCTTGACATTTTATAACTTCATTGAGAAAAGTAGCCAGTAACTGTGCCTGGAGTAGGCAATCTTGGCTAGGACATTCCATGTCATTACAGGTTTTTGATCCTTCCAGTACACTAATTACTGAAATAATTCTTAATTATTTAATTGACAATAGAACAGAAGCAGGGCAATGAGCTCTGCTGCATTGCTCTTTGGTGCCAGGTTCGATTCTGGGCTGGGGAGCCTTCTGTGTGAATTCTACCAATACAGATACACATTTTCTCCAGTTTCTTCCCACGGCAAAAAAGACGCCCTGGCTCATGTGATGAGCTCTGCTAAATCGTGCTCTGTGGTCCTGTGAGCTCATCCAGTTCAGGCTGTTGCGAGCTCTGTCCTACCTTGCATGCTGTTTTTCTGGGATAAATACTGGGTAGCTGCGACCATCACCAGGATAAGCAGCTTTCTGGTAATGGTTATTTAATGCATTCTTAATAGAACCCGGCAACAAAAATTAACACAGTTATAACAATGAACTGCTTTGGAACAGAGAAGCCAAGGTTGTCTACTCCTGCCTGAAGGAATCGCAGATTACCTAAGTCTTCTAGGGTACCTACCCCTGGTTTAAAGTCTAGCTCCTTTGCATTTCGTCTCTCTAAATATGCCCTTCCAGTCTGACTGGTCAGTAATAAATCCTTTCTCCATCATGTACCCTCCTCTCTAGAGCACACTACATGTCAGCGAGAGACATACAAAGATTACAATAGACAATTTCCGCATATGAGGCAAATATAATTGAATGATGAAACTAATGTTTGTGGTTTCTTTGTACATAGACAAGCAGAGTAACTAAGACTGCTAAATCTAGCTGGCTACATAAGAGAAGAGACAAGTGTTCTGCACAGATTTATTTTCAGCCAATAAAACTTGACAACTCCGGAATTTTTTTTATAATCAAATTTAAACTGCAGCTGAAAGTTGACCTTAGTCTAGAAGAAATTAAACTATAAACCACATATAAAATAACACCCATATAAATGATGAATGGGTCAAAAAAAGGAGTCAGGCCTCTTATTTTAAGTTCCAGGATGGATAAGAACCTCTTCATATATGAGAACATAGTTAAATCACTAAAGTCTTCAATCTGGTGAAACAGCTGTGTTAAAAGCAACAGCTGTGAGCAGGAAATGGATTATGCTAATTTAAAACAGAGGGCAGATCATAAACTCTGCTGCATAAAGAGCTTAAATACCAAATTACTGATGAACAGGAACACCTCCATTAACCTTTTCTGACAAATCCATGTTTTCATTCATCTTGCGATTAGTCATTTTATCATTCAGGGACAAAAAGTAATGGAGAAAAAACTTTTCTTACTTATGAGAGCAGTTTCGTTGATTCCCTTTCTTGTTTCTAAGAGCCTGTTGCATCAGATTTGTGATCATAAATCAGAGGATGTTACACAAGTAACAAAAGTTCTTGTACCAGGATCCTTTGCATTTGGACAATCTTTCTCATCAACATTTCAACAATACACATCGATGTGTGGCTGTCTGTACATTAATATGTATTTCTGCTGGAAGGCTTCGATTACATTATGGTAATGTATAATTACCATAGATTGCTCTACATACTGTTGCACACTGTAACACTTTACCTACCTAAAGGTAGTCACCTTGGGATGTATAAGGCAATTGTATTAACTGAGAGTTGCCTCGGACACAAGTCTGACTGATGAAAGATTGAGGAAGGCTCTTTTCCCTCCCTGGTTTGGTTCTAGCAATGGAATAGGACTTTCATAGTTACAATATGAACTGCACTTTCACATTGTTACGATAAAATGCTTTGAACACTGATGATGAGCTGCATTTCACAACAACCCCTCTTCCAGCCTCGAGGTGACCTGGATACCCTAAGCAGCAGCGCACAATCGCCTAGTCCTGCCAGGGTGGGGTAGGGCTTGGCAAGGGCTGCCTCGTGGCACTTGCCGAGTCCCAGAGGCCTGCGATGACACCAGCAAGGGTAAGCTGCTCCTCCAATAGATGCCAACTCTCCTGTCCTGTAAGCTGTAGAACAGCCGGTATGTCAAAAGACAAATGACTCTGTTGAGGAGACTATTCAGATTGAATAAGTCCCACAATCAAGAGCAAACCTCTTAGAAAGTAAATCAAAGAAGTAACAGAAACAAATTCTATTATCCGTAATACCAGGTATAGCAAATGCTTAGAAGGGAATAAGAACATTGATAAATTTGACAGATTGACTGAAATAATTCTTCTTGGATTTGCCCTTGGTGGTCTTCAAGCTTCCCCAAAATCTTAAGAGATCATTTCATCAGTTCAGATTTCTCTGATTTACCAAAACAGACTCTTTGTCTCCTGTACTAGATGGCAATTATAAATGTCAAGCACACATTCAATACGATCTGCATCAGCACAGTTAAATGTGATTCACACTTATGTGGGTAAAACGCAAATGCAATTAAAGCAAGGAACAGCTGAACATTGCAGTTCCATAACATGTGGTTATCCGACTTCCCCAGCAATTGTTCATTTTATTGAAGCCAATCAAAGCTTTCTTAGGTCTGTGGGCTTTGAGAGGTTATGCATCTCTAGAAACTTTAAAAGAAACATACATGATTCTTCATGTTTTAACTCTTAAGTAGATAAAATATTAAATCTGATCTTAAATCACTTTAATAAATGTGGAAAATAATTTCTAGATTAATTTTAAACAAGTCTAAAGAAATCATGCTCTCACTCACAGACTGGTCCTATACATATTTCTTTGTTGGCTTGAACTCTCCTGAGTTCTCATGAGGCATCTTCTGTCCTGCTGGGTGCTACGGCCTAACAATCTGTTATGTGCTGATCTTTACTGCCTCCCCACAAGAGGAGGAAAAAGTGAAGGCGGTGGTTTTGTATACCCAGGAAGGAAATGAATAGTTAAGGTTTCTGAATTGAAGAAGTCTTTGTAAGTTGCTCTTACCCAACATCTGGGCAGAAGAACAACATGCAAGTGGTCTTCCCAGTTTCAGTTTATCTGGGAAAAAATCTGTATTCCCAAATAATACAATAAGTGAAGAAAACGAATGGTCAAGTGTCTGGGCCTACCCTGCGGTCATCCACCGACTTCGCAGCCGACACCATTCCCTCCAGACACTTGGAGATAATGGGGATGACTCTGCGCTCCACATCAGCGAAGCTCTTGTAGGTCTCGCCCAGCTTCACAGTTCTCCTGCTGTCCATGTCCTGCAGGTTCTGGAAACGAGCCAGGACACAGGAGAAATCCCAGTGAGCCCTTCCCACAGTGAGGCCGCATGCAAAGCTGCCTTAAACACAGGTGACATACGCAACTGCACCGATTCAGCTAACAACCTTAAACTGAGACATTTAACCTTTTATCAAGCACTAACTGATCAAACTCAAGGAACAGGCACTGTACATGTTGTGTTTGCTTGTGACTTTCATTCCAAGGCCAGGCCAGTTACCGAATCTTCAAGACATTGTGACTTCTGTTCATATTTTTCCATTACACTACTTGGATATATCCAATTGTGCAATTTAGTGCAGACAATTCAATAAGCAACAAACATGACAGGCTTCCAAAAAGAGAAAACGTAACACACCTATTGTTAAGCTTTTGTTAATCTCTAAACTTTTACAACTTTTTTGTTTGTTTCCTTCATTATAAGATGTCACATGATAGTCACTTTATTCTTTATCTTCTGTGAAGTGCATTACAAAGGACAATGAGCCTGTCTGTTAATAGCTGTTTGCTCACAGACTTGAGACTGGTAATATGGTATTGGTATCATATGGCATTAATTCCTTTTAAACTTGATTAATGTAGAAAACTTTACATATCTTCTTCATCAATAAAGTAATTATATCCCTTGTTGAGAATTATACATAAGGTATTCCACTAGTTCATGTACAAATAATATTCTTAAAAATATTTCAAAAAGAACCTTCTAATGTCTCTTTCAATCTGATGAGCTACGTAACACCTTTTCTTATACTTCACAGTAAAATATGTCAGGGAAATAACACCCAATGTTTTCCCAACAATATGAAGTCAACCTCAGGAAAAAAAAGATTTACCTTAAAAATTTGTGGAATAGCAACATTAAAATGTTTCCATTGTTCGCCATTGAAGTTCTGTAGCTGAGCCGCATATTCATTCTTGCTCTCATCAGCCATGTGTGTTCTCAGGTAAAGCTGTGACTTTGCCTGTAAAGCACAGAAAGAGCAGAGTTAAAACCGAAATGAAACTTGAATTTAAAAGGGAAAAAAAATAAAATTGGCTTTTACTATAAAGGACAGGGGTAGCAGTGGTTAGCATCGCCGCTTCGCAACACTGGGGTCTGCTGGGGTTCAATTCCAGACCTTGGCACTGTCTGCATGGAGCTCTCATGGGATTCCAGTTTTCTCCAACAGTTCAAAGACATAATGGTAGGCTGTTAGGTTAACTGGCTTCTGGGAAAATTAGCCCAGATGTGTGTGTCTGCTCTGTGATAGGCTGGTGTCCTATCCTGGGTATACCCTGTGTTGCAATTCTGGCCGGCCAGAGATTAATAAATGATGGATGGAACTGTATAAACTGCAGGTGTTATATAAAACCAGACTGTACTGTACCTCACAGGATATCAGTATAGAGTTTTCTTAGAGAAAGAAAAAGGCAAAGACAACATGTTAAATCTATTAATGCACTGTTTGATTACCACTGACAGCACAATCTGGACCATATTGTCTTTCTCTGTTAACCCTGAAGCTAGGACGTTTTCCTGACTGTCTTTATGCCACTTAACATTCATGACTAACAGTCATCATTACATCAAGCTAATGCAATTTGGGCCTTTTTATTATTTTATTTATGCACCAGCAGTCCTGAACAGCAGTTCTCAGTTCCAAGTGTAATACTGTGTTGTTTGTTGCTCCCCTTTTAAATCATCTGATGCATGAATTGTTTCACAAAAAAACAAAGTGGAGTATAATTGATTAATGATATTTTAGTATCATTTAGTTAAACCACAAATACAAACTGAAACAGAAAAGGAAAAGGGGATTTAATGAAAAACTGGACTTGAAGAAAAAAATATGGTAAGAGGACTTAGTTGAACATATTTTGTCAATTAGAACATCCTCTGCTTCTTGAAGTTGTACAATGTAGTTCAGATGTGCTGTAAGAAGAGTAATGTCAGCAAATGAACTCAACCATATTTAATGTAAAAGAATCTCCAACCAGTCACACAAAATAGATTTGTTAGCAGCAGTGAGACTAGTCAGAAAAATGTTAAACAAAAACGCTAGGAAATTATATATAGTAGGAATTGAGCAGGAGCAGTCTGGGGCTCACTGGTATAATAACAGCAGTGAGGTCCGATAACACACAACTGTCTTATGGCATTCATAAAACATGTAAACAGGTGTCATCAAGTACATTGGTGACACAGAGGACCAGAAGCAGTCTCCATATGGAACTTTGTTTTTTTGCACACATTCCACAAACCAGTTTAAAATGGATCAACTACTACCTTTCTTGAAGAAACACTCTTTTTACACACAAACACAAGCAAATCAGTAAGAAATGGAAGAGGATAACCGTTATCTAAAATAAAGAAGCATCAAAAGTAAAATAAAAAGGAAGAGCAAGGAGGAAGATTAAATTAAATCTCCTCAGGTGTCCCATTAACATTCAAGAGTGCTGCCACATCACCCTAATCACTTCATAACGGAAATCGACACTTGCATGCATTGTACAAGGTATGACTCCATTAACTAATCAATTAAATAAAAAATACCTTTTCCACTTCCGATTTGGTGGCGTTAATGTCATTATCTAACCTCTCGTAGCTCATCTGAGCCTTTTCAGCTTCCCGGCATTCCCTCTCAAATTTCTTCTTGCTCTGGAAAACAGAAAGAAAAACAATATAAAACAATCTGTTCACCCACACAGGTCAAAACGGTAATTGTCTTTAAATTCCCTGCCAATTCTATGCTGTGCATCAAATGAAACCCTATCTAACACTTACAAGTGCAGTTACTTCCTGATAAAAACAGCGAGCAGCAGTTGCACTGACGTCTTATTGAACAGACCAGGCAGAAGTAAATTCACTATGCTTATTACCACTTTTCATCACAAGGGTCTACAGTCAAAGTCACCAGTAGCATGTGTGGCCACTACTCTGACACATGCTTTGTACAAAGTTGCAGATGCTGTCTTGTGGAATTTCGTTCCATTCCTTTCATACAACTTGGACAAGCATGTACCTGTGTACCTTTTAATCCTGAAAGACACGCCATCCCAGTTCATTCCCCCAAATATTACGGGGGGCTCTAATCTGGTGAACAGGGTATCCACGGCGTAACTACTTCATTCTCATCCTAGAACACTTTCATATCAGTATAAGGCCACCAAGTGAGTTCACAGACATTTACCAATTTAGGGCATCGTCAATCTCTAAATGGAGTTCTGCCTGCCACGACTCGACATGGTTGCCCGAACATCACCCAATGGGATCTAACTATTGATTGCTCTGCTGTAAAAAGACAATTAGTGCAGGGCCCAGCAAGCCTTCACTTGTGGCAACAAAAACAAAGCAACTTAAGGTCAATACTATGGCCCCAAAAAGTAACCTTATTTGCTTCTATTGAGAGATTTGTGTGCCATTCATTCTCGAACATTGTAACCCATTTGTCATAGTCTGGTTTGGGGTACTTTTGACCTTTTTCTGTCAAAAAGATCTTGGCTGCTTTATTGTCATCGATGGCAGCAAAGCCTTTCGTGCACAAGTACACGCGTCTCAGTTAGCCGCGCTCTGTGCGGCTCTCAGTTCGGCCCCCTGGTGCAGTGCGCAGTGCAGGGGAGAGCCCGGCTTCCCCAGCCCCTCATTAGCTGAGGCCTAGGGGAGACCAGCCTGATTGGCAGGCGCTCCGAGACCTCAGGCAGGAGCTTTAATCTTCAGAGCCGCTCGGCTGCTCATTACGCTTTACTGCTTCAACTTTATTTTAATGATGCAGCAGGAAAAAAAAAACTCACATTATCCATCTGTTTCCAGCAGTGATCCAAGTACTGTTGGGCTTTCCTCCCCTCCTGAAGATGCTGTGCAAGAAAAACATGGCAACACATCACCACAGCACAGTACGAGTTTGCTTGCATCTATTCAAAAATGACAACCCTGCAGTCATTCATGCAGTACTGTAACACATAGTGTTGAAGCCACTTAAACTGAACATCTGGTTTGCTTATTACTCACAAGAGTTTGGCTTTTTTTTAAAAGAAACCCTTGTGCAAAGACCCTGATAAAAAAAAAAAACTTACGTTAAAAACCGAATCCCCCTCAGATGCATGGCAGGATTAACTCAATTTGCTCTGGCTTCTACAGGATACAAACCATATCCGGGTATTTGCTGACCCATTCAAATTGAAATTCTGTGTTTGAAAATAATCAGCATTTCCAGTGTTTCAAAAACTGATCCAATTACAAAACAGCAGATTGGTTAAGATGATAAAATCACTCCAAAAATATTTTAATGACTCATCATCTTTACATATTATGTTTTAATGTTCAACATGTCTTGAACATTATTTGACATCTTTACAAAGGCAAAAAATGGCACAAAATAGTTACCACTCTTCAGTTCTGAAGAGTATCAGTTGATCACTGAAAATCCTCTGAATACTAAAGATCTATTGTATATAATGTGCAGAAATAAAGGTTATTAAATGTGCAGAAGGTTCCCTGCTTAAATCTTAACAAAGCACTAAGCTTTAGAAATTAAATACCTGAATGAGGCAGGAAAAAACAATAGTAAATGGAAATTAAATGTTACTCACATGTTTCCTTTCCGATTTGAGCTCTTGGGAATATCTCATGAGCTCTCCGTAGACTTTGTGCCCCATCTCCTCTGCCACTACCTCTCTCTGGCCCGCGTAGTCATTGAGTTCGTTTAGGATGGTGTAGAAGGACAACAAGGATGAAAACCTGGAGAGATGCACACAGGTATAAGTGTCTAGAAGGCAGAGTTGAGAAAAAAAATCAAAAGTTCAAGTCTTCTCAAGAATCAGGCATTTTAGGCATGAAAACAAAGCGCTAAAGACAATATTTTCGAGGCACAGGCGCGTGGGGGGAAGTGGGGTCGAACATTAAATCTGTCATTGTGATAGAATTACTTAGTGGCGCTGGTGACCTCAGTTGAGCCAAATGCCATTAAGTCCTAAGGATTAGAAAGATAATTAAATAAATCATTTGTCAATTCATTATAACAATTCGGTCTGGCTCTTTTTTTCCCCAAATTTTAGTAATGATTCAGTGCCCAAATTAATAATGCAGATGACAATCTATGTTTCACCCCATTTTTAAAAGATCCCTGAGTTTAGGCACCCAATCTGAGCAGCCCAGAGTAACAGCAAACTCACAAGTACATCTAGGGATATGCAGGACAAGCAGTAATATGGATTATATGGATGTATTTATCTAAACATTTTGGATCAGCTTCTTTTTAAATTAAGCCAGAAGACACAGAAGTGTAGGGTCTTACTTTTGGGATGGGAGTGTGTAACAAAAGCTGGCAAGCTAACTCCCCGCCTTACCAAAGTGGACAAGGGAACAGTGAAAGACTGGCAACGCGATCAGATGGCTGATTCCATGTTGACATTGAGCAGACGAGCCTCCCCAGTGTGCTAATTCTGCTTTATTAAAACGGCCTTAAATATCACCCTCCTCCACTTACCCTAATGAGCACCAGACTAAAAGAAACATTTCAAGTCACTGGGGACTGTGTATCTGAGAGTCAGGTGGCGCATTACTGAAGGCAACGGATATAAAACTAAATCAGAACAAGACACCCCCACCAAGACTAATCCTCATTTCCCCCGTATTTATGTTAAACACCTACTGTATCATGATGTTCAATTTCCACCCTCCAGTCTTGTTTACAAAAAGCAGCATAACTAATGTAATTCATTAGGGAAATGGGGAGACAGATCTATACATTCTGTGGCTCAGACACAAAGGCCAGGAGAGCACTGAGATGATTTTATTAATCTATCATAGAGCATCTGAGGACAAGGCAGAATCTCATAGCAGTTGTACAACGTCTGTATATTAATTGTGAGTCTTACATCATTTACAACATATGAGCTATGTCTTCAGGCTTAAATGCAGTGTCACATGATTTCAACTGCAATTAACTGAAATGTTAGACAAGTGACCGGAATTCTAATGGTGGTGTTAGAATTATGTTTAATCAGCAGCCAACTGACATATCACATAGCAGGTAGTTCAATTGCAAAAGCAGACATTTCTACTGTTACATTCATTTTCTAAAAGCTGAATATTAGAATGATTTTTAATGTTCTGGAACTGGAAGACAAACGTCCTGAAGTTTTTATACAATTAAAAGTGCAGGTTCAGCCCTATCATCCAGATATCATCTACATTTCAGCCTCAGCTGTGCCATTAAGCAACTGTCACCAAGATTATCCCAAGTGGCTACACCCCACTGGAAATGGACTCAGTCAGGGTTATCCTGAGTTTATCACACACTGGCAACTACAGAGCTACTTTGTGCCTCTACAGTGACATCAGCAACAGAAACACTGTGCTCCAATCAGTGCTCAATTTTTGTAAGGACCCACTAAGCTCATTTCATGTTAAATGTTTCTGAATGGAGGACACAGAGAAGAGCGTCTGTCCTGATTTTTCCCAGGGAATTACAGGGATTGTGGTGGTAAGATTTGTAGATTCGGAACTACCAACATCAAATTTGTTAAAAAAATTATATTTAAGCATCTGCATTTTGTCCTTTAAGAGAGGTGGTCAGCCCCTGACACCTCTTTTGATAAAAATCATCTGGGTTTGACATTACCTAGGCTCTTCATCTTTGGAGCGCTTAGGGCAGTATTTTTTCACAAGGTTCCTGTAACAAAAACAAGCGACAAGTTAAATCACACTCTGTAAAAAATCCCCACCCAGACCAAACCTTATTCAACTCACCTGACAACTCAGCTAAGGGTGATAAAAACCCCAAAATAAGATAAGATCACTTTATTAGCCCTATACAATTTCTTGCATTAGGAATTGTCTTTTCGCATACCCCACCTTGCTCTCCATGAGACACAGACACACAGAAAGGGAGAGAAGCTTTGGGTCAGAGCGCAGGGTCAGCCATTTATACGGTGCCCCTGGAGCAGTTGGGGTTAAGGGTCTTGCTCAGGGGTCCAACGGAGTAGGATTTCTCTGCCAGCTGCAGGATTTGAACCGGCAACCTTCCAGCCACAGGCGCAGATCCTTAGCCACAGTGCCACCGCTATGCCCATAGATGGACTTGAGAAACAGGACTGCATTTGACGTGTACCATTCTTAATTTGTTAGAGGTGTCAGGGTGGTTGTCAACTGAACACAAGATAATAACTCTATAGTTTACAACCATTTAACTTCCTTCTTAAAAGAGCCAAGCCAAGGAGTTGAGATCTGGGTGATTTAATGATCAGATGTTCTGCAAATATGATTAATCAATGTAAGACATTTTAGCAAAGCTATACAATAACAAGCAAAGCTTCTTTAGAAAATGGTTAAAATTGTTACTCAATAAAAACTACTTCCTGTAAAAACAAATGGTGCTAATGCAGATTTAATTCAAAACAACATTAAAAATATAAAACAAAGCTGTTTGGCTCCAAATGAAAAAAACTCCAGTACACCAGAAATGCCAAAACACAGTACAAGTACTAGGTCTTTTTTTGACCTGCTTCTCCAAAAAATATATTCTAGTCACTCCCACTGTTTACTGCAATCTCTTAAGGGGTTGGGTTTGGGGAGTACTGTGATTGCTAGTGTACTACATGAATTAACTCAGGACTCAAAGACTACCCTAACCTGAACCCTGACCCTGACTGTTTCCAAGCCAGGAGCCACAAAAGCTCCTGATTAATTTCCCTTTCCCCCATAAGAATTTAACTGAAGTTAGGAGACCATCTACCAGGAATTACTGCTAATGACTGCCAGACCCACACCACACCTTGCTTCTTATGAAAGCCTATCTGTGAAGCCACTCTGCAACTACAGCACCCACACATGCTCTTTAAAGGAAAACTATTACTCAATCAAAATTCATATTACAAGCTGTTTTCTTCACTGGTTTAAATTAAATAACCTAAATTAGGAAAATGCTTATTAAAAATGTATAGCAAATCTCTGTGCCATACTGCAATCTAAGAGGTAACACCATTATCAAACAACCTCCCAAGGGCTTTGGGAGCAAGTCATTCCAATTTGTCACTGCCAATGACCAGAGCAATCTGCTGGATGAGCTGAAACGATACCTTGTCATATCTGAAGGGGTTTTCAGTTGTGTTATTAAATCTTTTTCATCTGAAACTTGTACTTGTCACTATCCTGTCGTTTTGTATCCTGTTACCATTTAGATTTTTCCTTTCCTGGTGTGGGCCACTTGTCCAAGTTGTCATTGTAAATGAGAATCTGTTCTCGGCATATTTATTTCACGAAATAAAATGGATGATTATACATTAGGTACATTAGTCAGCCAAAACCATGCAAGCTGATGAAACCCTCGAAGTCAGCCTAGGAAATTCTTAAAGGAGGTATGCTGTAGGCAGCACATTGACATGGCGACAAGAGCTGCTGCCTGAGAGCCTTCAGGTCTTGGGCTCAGCTCACGTGGAGCTTGCCTGAGTCTTTAGTGCTCCAGTTTCCTCTCAGCTTCTAAAGTCACTCTGGCTAAGTTAACTGCATCTCATCCAGGGCGTGGTCCCGTCTTGTGTCCTGTACTGTCCTGTACTTCTAGCATAGGCTCTGGATGTGCCACAGTGTTGTCCGGGAATAAAGGACTTTCTGGGAATGGATGAAGGGCAGTGCTCTGTTAAAACTGAATGTGTCTGAAAATTGAGATTTTTCTGATAATTAGCTCCTACTTTTAAAAAAAAACATCTAACATCACACTGGTTACTGTAATCAGAGCTCACACTATGAGAAGACAATTGCAAGAGTAAAACTAAATAAAGGCAAGCCAAACCTTTATTTAGAAAAAAAAAATAAACCAGTTTTACAACCGTAAAACTCGTTTCTAGTACAAGAAAAACCTGAAAAAAATCACAATTTAAAAAACGGATTTGTCAATCGAGTTTCCTTTCAGGAATGGAACGGGATTAATTGTTTCACTGGATGAATACAGCGCAGCACTCATTACGATTCCGAAGGTCATCTGCTGCACAATCCTGTATCCAGGCAACATCCCTGAAAACCTGCTGGGAGTGAGGGAAGCCTAACAGGAGTCTGGAGCATGAAACACAAAAATGTGTCTGAATCTTACATCAGCTGGTTGTAATTTTTCTGTGGAACATCACTGTAAATAGACACTGCAGGAGTGTGAAAAATTAAGGGCGGTGCACTAGGACCTTGGTCTGTTACAATCAAATGTAAAACAATTAGCTGAAGCAAAGAGAATAGTATTTCAGTACTATTAAATATTTGCCTATGCTCTGACTTGTGTTAACTGTTAAGTTAATTTTTTGTATTTCCATCACAGTTATGTGAGAAAATATCTTCTGTAAAGATAACAGAATTTAAATTGTTCAGTGAACTTTTTGTATTACTATCTCAGAGTTATGTGAGAAAGTATCTTCTGAACAGAGAACAGAATTTAAATTAAGTGATTTTATTTGAGCTCCACTTATTAAGACATAGATCACCAATACATAAGGCAACCAAAACAGTTAATATTACAAAATAACATACAAATGCAATGGGGGCCTTTTTGTTTTATTTCTGAAATATTAAGTTAAAAATTACAACCGGTCAAAATTAATAAGCTACTTGATAATCACGTGGTCAACTATTTATTGGTGTAGCACACCTCTGATTACAATACGTCTTGCCAAGTAAATTTGAATTATTTGACATCAGAGATTTAAATAAATATGACACATGGTCACATTTCATGATGAGAAGAAAAAATAATGCCAGTATACACTAAACATTTTCTTTTAGTGTATTTTCTTTTCTGTCTGTAGACAAAAAGCTCAGAGAAACCTAAAAAGTACTAATCATTTTAAGGGGAAAAAAACATTCCAATGTTTTTTTTTTAGTTAATTATATATCACTGATTTCCTAGTATGCAAAAGGCCAAAAAAATCTCTATGGAAACATTTACGAAGAATGCAGGGATATGAGATATGGAATACTTGTACTACTTTAGTGGACAGAGAAAGAAATGTGATAGTGGAAACGCAGTTATAAGTGCCCAGGTTCACAAACATGTAGCACTTTAACAGAATGAATGGAAAGTGAGATATCCTGTTTTTTAAGTTAAAGTTAAAATTTACCATGCTTTAACTAGGTTGAAAAAATCAACAGCTACTGTATGTATTTTTAAAATAGTCTAACAAGGAAGATGTGCTTTTTCTGTGTAGTTAGGGTGGGTTAGGCAAACCCAGTTCTTGTCTTTTAAAATCGTGTAATTTAGAATGCAATTTTCCATTGCAGCACATTAATGTTCCAACACACATGTAATTGAAAAACACAACATGAATTTGGAAATTAGGAACACACAAAATTAGGAAAGGAAGTGTAATTCTGAATCCTGGGTGGAATTCATTTTATATTAAGGATTAACAAAAGGTCAGTGGGACCAGTTCCAGGAGCTGATTACAGTTTGCTTTAATTCCACTACAGTAACTAGTTCTCACACTCGCACCAACTGATTAATCTCGGGACCTCATCCAACCCCTAAAACTGTTTGAGCCCTTTTCGTTCCAGAGTTGTTCCTTGAGTAGTCTAAGGTCTTTCATTATGGTTTCCACCAGGCCTCCACATTCATGCATATCCTGAAACCATTCTATACTTACATGTGCCCTATTGCACATGTAAGTCACACTCTTGTCTTAATTTTGCAAACTCGTGAATGTTAATTTCATCTTTGCCTTTAGGATATGAAAGCAAAAAGTGCAGTGGTCAAAGAGTTTTCTACTGGGGTACAAAGAAAGCTACTCCTGTAGATGTTTTTTTATTCGGCATCCTTTGGACATGCAAACACTGTGGCTTACTATATCATACTTGCAACACGACTGACGAGAGAAAAGATAACCTCTTTAATGCTCTCCTTGAGACAGCAGGTTACAGTTGTCAGCTTTAACCTCCAAACTGTTTCACTTTCTGTGACCCCACAAAACAACTAGATTAATATAACCTGCTACAAACATTATTATGAAATGCATTGCATAGAAATGTATTAAAGAAAAAGAAAGTTGCATGTAATTACAGAAAATCTGTTCAGCAAAGGTTACAATCAACTGAAGGTGTGCCAATTATGTGCAATGTACTGGCATTTTCTCCAAGAAATGAAGAGAAAATTGCAGGCCTAAATAAAATCCCATGGGTTTAATTAATGATTATGTTCCAAACACCAAAGAGCACAGTTTAAGCAACAGTTACAATATGGTATAAAGCCAAGAAACTATTACAGGTGTCCAATTCTGTCATTCTATTCACCAACTAGATCTGGAGAGGATCCACCATATTTGTTTATAAATATTTTAACAATCTGTGCCAATCAGATTCCCTGGGTAATGGTACAGTTTCAAATTAGAAGATTAATATACAGTATATATAATGGTCAACTGCACACCAGAGCCACAGCCTATCCTGGTTTCTGCAGTGTTAAGTGGACTAGGGAGCATATGACTCCCTCCTGGATGGGACACTAGACCATTACAGTGATTACCACCCAGCAATAGTCGTCCCCACCTACACAGCTGGATGACGTTTAGCAACTGGGATCAAAGTACCTCATTCAAGATACCATAGAGGTATCTGTAGAAGGGACTCAAACTCAAATCACACTCAAGGTCTACCCACTACGCTACACCATCGTGCAAAACGTTAAAGATGAATTTCAGTTGAGAAATTATCTACTATTTGTTGTTCCTTGCAATAGTCCTATCAATATTTTACAAAAACTTCCTTCTTCAATTTATTAAAATTAAAGCCCAAAAGAAGTTTTGAGCCCAACTCAATATGCTAATCTTCACTGCAAGTTTGTATCTATAACATTTTTAAAATCAGTCATCACACAGCTATTTCCTTAAGCTACTGGGTGAATCCACAAGAGAAATGACCCAAACTGTAAAAGCAGTAAGTAGCCTAGGAGGGAAATGTGTTAAAAACAAAATATATTTCACACCAAATATCATCTATTGTACATAATTAGGGCAAATTAAAACAAACAATCTCCCTTTTGTCTCTTGTTGTTGTTAGACCTGGTTCCAACAGCAGACCCATTTTTTCCAGTGCTTGGGTTAATGAGGACAGAGCCCTTCTTTTCCAGCCTGGTAAGATATCTACTCCAACAGCACAGCTCAGAATCTTAAATATTCTTATGTGTCCAGTAGAAACATAGCCTCACCCAAAATTGCACAATAGGAAAGCCTTTAGGAGCACAGTAAAATAATGAAAATTAGTTATTACTTTTTACACTTTAGTACAAAACTTATACACTTGAAAGCAACATATGGTGATTGAAAAAAGACTTCAGACAAAATATCTATATTCGCTAACATATATATATATAAAATACATGGCAGTCTAACTGAACACCATAATGATAACAGACCTCCCAGACAGAGGGAAATCTAGACATGACTGATGTAGGTTCTTATTAATATAGAAAAAGGAAACACATTGGAAGAAAAGTCCTCATTCGCCTACATCATGACTAGTAAAAGCACACAGATAACATTAAAGGCACATAGATAAGGCTACTAGGTATCTTCAGACTTTCAGAAGGTAGGGTACATGTTTTAGGGCTCCTTTAGAATTTCAGAGTTGTTTCTTTTTGAAACTGGACATCACTACAAGGTTATCAGCATTTTAAAAGTACGAAAGTATTACTTTAGCTGCAAGAGTAACTGTTAATACCAATAGGTAATAGGCTCTGTATTCCAATGGTTAAATTAAAGTGATGTTACAAGGAAGTTCCAAGTTTTAATCCTGGCACTGTACCTTATTGCTCTCATCCTTCAGATGAAAGTTTAATCTAAAGCCTTGTAAAAGCACCTGCTGTATTCTAGTTCACCTGTTATTTTACAAAGCTGCTGCTGGTTTGATGGTGAAATTGTTTATTTACAAGAAGTTCGCACAATTCTCTGGAGAACCAAAAAACCTGCAGTTAGATTTATCACTTAGCGTTATGGGAAATATGTTCAACCCAGCGACACAGCAGACCAAAGTCAGAGTTTGAGCCTTGAGTGCTCAGCCAATACTGTAAGCATAAGTACGAGAATTACCTTAATTGTTTTGCATAGTTCTGCTCGATCTCCATTCTCTCTTTCACAAACTTTGCATATCTTTCCAGGAAGTCAATTCCCCATTGTGTGTGTTTCTCAAGGTTGTCAAACTGATCCTAGAAGAGAACATTTCAGGAAAAAAAAAACAAGTTAGGATTTTAGAATTTTTACAGAACATTTGATACAGAACAAATTCAATTCAGAAAAAAAAAACAGGCATCCTACTTTAAAACCCACATCAGATCTTCCGCTTAGAGACAGATTTAGTTCATTTAGGCTGTATTAATAGCGCAACATGGAGACTGCAGAGACCTGACTTCATAAAAAAAATGAAGACCTGTACTTCATATTGAATTACCGCGGGACACAATTATATCCCAATCCTCATTCTTTATTTAATGCCATATTTTAAGTAAAATCTATGTTTGACAGGCATCTGTCATTGGTCATGCTATTTCTGTAAAGTTCTGTCATGAGCAGTAACTTTACATGTAGGACGAGACCCACTTCATCCTGCATTGAAGTGCAGCCCACTTGAGTAACACACAGCAGTCATCATGTGGCTTCTGCCCCACTTCACAGTGGACTGGGAACAGAAAAAATACCTTAAGAGGTTACTTTAGGAAGGGCAGAATGTAAGAGCCCAGAGTGAAATCATAACGAAGACAAACGGGTTAACACTCCCATAACTCTTAAGAACAGTGCCAAGGGACATTTAGTGACCAAGTAATCAGAACCTTGCTTGGATTTTGCCCATTCGATCCAGTTCCGTTATATCTCCAGGAGAGCTGAAGTTTCTTTCGTTGTCTTGGACAGGCTTTTTGTTTTTCCAAAACCCCACAATCAAGCCAGGAATGCTCCTGGAGATTCTTGTACCTGCGCGTCGAGTGGTTTTGTGTGAAAAAGCCTCAATAAGGAATTCCCCTCTGATGCCTCTTTTGTACCTTTCACATGATTTCTACATTGTAGGAGATCTTGAGGTCAATAAAGCTTAAAGCTGATGTACTACACCCTATAATCTCATTCTCCCATAGGCCTGCACATTTAACCCCATCTACCACATTCACTAAGCTCCAAAACTATTACAAAATAGCATGAAGTCCATCGAGTTACTCAAAGTCAGGACAATCTTCGTAAACAACAACCTAGAATACCTGTACTTTTAAAAGCACCATTTTAAATAATGTCCTCAGATGTATAAGAAATACGAAATATTGACTGAAAATCATAATTTGGGTTATATAAAAGGTAATTTGCATTAAATTTTATGTTCTCCACATTTTGCAAGAGAAAAAAAGTCTAAAAAGCTTTTTAGATGTAAAATGACCCACAAGACAAGAAGCCTAGTGGAAAGCTAATATAAGGACATAATGCAACTCAATACACCAGGCCTTAAATACTGCTTACTTAACAGTGACAGAACTACAAAATATTACACTTAACATAAATAATGGATAGTTCAGAAGGACTATTACACTATGAAAAGAACAAGCACTAAAAAGATTAATGGTGTTCAGAACAGTTTTTAAATGAAAAATGTCCAAAATATTTCTCAATATACAGTAAACTATAATCTCTAGATGGAATCTAGTATTTATGCTAATTCTATTAATTTATTTGCTTATTTTGGATTAAGACAACTGAGAAAACGTTTATGAAACCACATGCAAATGGCCTCAGTAGTGCTTGTGTGCAGAAATGCAGACACCCCCTCACACCAAAAGATTTACAGCTGCGGTTCCTGGAGAGGCAAGCGCTAAATTGTTTTCTCAGAGTGAGGGAGAAGCCTCTCATTCCTGATGGTTTTAACAGCCCAAGAGTTGCACATTTACACAGTGTAAGCGCGCCAACTCCAGAAGGAAACCCTGCAATTTAAACTAAATAAATTCCTCCACATGGTCAGTGCAGGAAATGTCAGAATCTGTATCTCTCACCACACCACGCTACACATTGGTTATTTCAAGAGCTTTTCCAAGACTGTCCAGGAGTCATACACACTGTTGTTCCTGTTGTGGGTGGCCTGCTTACCGGTCTTTAGCTCAGGGACCAGGGACTGTGATTCAAACTGCATGGCAGGCAATAACCAGCCTTAAGCCCAAACAAACATCCAAGAGGCCAGATCATCACCGTGCATTCTGGACTTTTGCTAGCCAAGTACTCTCACATGATTTATATGCAGTCGGAGCTACACCACTGCCATCCCAGCTTACTGGTTGCATGCTGTTACTTTTCAAAACTCACTTTTTCTTAACAGAAAGCTAAGGAAACTTTATCATTGCCTTTAAAACTATGCAATGCTTTCAAAAATGTCAATCCCACCATGAGATGAAATTACACTTTAAGAAACAGGGTGCTGTACAATTGCAGTTACCAACTACTTGCTTTAAAAATATTCTAAGTAGCCTTTCCTGTGAAAAACTACTCTAAAAGAATGATTGAATTTCAAATTTTTGGGAAAAGAAAACAAATCGCAGTACCTCTTAGTGAATGCAAGTTAATCGACTACGATACAAGTGTTGCTAGTCATCATAAAGAGGATGGTGTGCAGTTTAAGTCTATTCAGAGGCCAAATTCAGTCAATATAGAGTCAAATCTAATTGTTTATATTTAGGCTACTGAAAAATTCATAAATCATAAATATGCATTCACTTACAAGGTACATAAATGAAACACGATCACCAAAGAATTTATAAAGCACAAATCATTGCAAAAACATTGCAAATCTAAAAACTAATATGAACCTACATGCTTAACACTGTAAATATATATTTCAATTTGAAGTTGCCAAATGAAGTGTTATTTGTTCTGTGAGGACAAAAATAACAATGGTTATTGCTTACATTTTACAGTTTAAGACATTCTAATGAACTGCCCAATACTAGATTAAAATGTATGTAAAAATAGCAAATAAAAGTGAACTATATATATTTGTTGCAATTAGTACTTTACTATTTCACACACATTCCCCTAGTATACAATGATCGACTAATTTCTTTCCAATCCCATCTACAGATTGCTACCTTCCACACATGCACTTTCTATGGAATGAATCTTTCATCTGTTTTGCCCCTTTTCTCTCTTCACTCATTCTGTCACTTGTTTTTTACTTTTTTTCTCACCCCTTTGCTTCCTATTCCTACTCTATTCTTGAACCTCACACACATTTGAAGTAGGCTCCACAGCCTAAATGCTGTCTTTCCATTCATCCATTTTCTACCCGTTTTATCCCATACTGGGTTACAGGGGAGCTGGAGCCTATCCTGGCAAGTAACAGGTGCAATGCAGGATACACCTTGGACAGGATGCCAGTCCATTGCAGGACAGACACACAGACAAACATGCACACACTCACACAAGTTCAATATTCCCAACTGCCAATTAACCTACCACTATGTCTTTGGACTGTGGGAGGAAACAAGAGCATAGGAAACCAGCCAGCAGCCATATCGCCCTGCAACTCACAACTGGCAGCCCACTGAAGCCAAGCAGATCTGAGCCTGGTCAGTACCTGGATAGGAGACCTCCTGGGAAAAACTAAGGTTGCTGCTGGAAGAGGTGTTAGTAGGGCCAGCAGGGGGCGCTCACCCTGTGGTCCATGTGGGTCCTAATGCCCCAGTATAGTGACGGGGACACTATACTGTAAACAGGCGCCGTCGTTCAGATGAGACGTAAAACCGAGGTCCTGACTCTCTGTGGTCATTAAAAATCCCAGGGCGTTTCTCGTAAAGAGTGTGGGTGTAACCCTGGCATCCTGGCCAAATTTCCCACTGGCCCTTACCAATCATGGCCTCCTAATAATCCCTTCTATGAATTGGCTTCATTACTCTGCTCTCCTCTCCACTGATAGCTGATGTGTGGTGAGCGTTCTGGCGCACTATGGCTGCCGTCGCATCATCCAGGTGGGGCTGCACATTGGTGGTGGTGGAGAGGAGTCCCCATTACCTGTAAAGCGCTTTGAGTGGAGTGTCCAGAAAAGCGCTACATAAATGTAAGCAATTATTATTATTATTATTATTATTATTATTATTATATGAAGAAAACTCATTTGAACATGGGAAGAACATAGGTATGTATCCAGGCATGAATCACCCATGAACTGAACCCAGAACAATAGCACTGCAGGACAGCAATGCTAACCACAGCGCCACATGCCCACCTTCTGTTTTTTATGATTCAGTTTTTTAGTGCGATTTTGACCTCTACATACACCAGTCATTGCTGCCAAAATCTGAAAACGCAGTGAGTCATCAAGTCAACGAACAATGGTTTGAACTGTCAAATGCACAATATTACCTAAACAAAGAAACCTATTCATGTGCAAAACATTCTGGAAAACACACCTATCCAAATGTTTGTGATAATATTTTTCGAAAATAAGCATAAAAACAATTTAGATAAATACAAATTTTGCTTAGTACAATCATTGCATTATAGAAAAAGTCATTTTTTCCCAACATACACAATTATATGAACCCTTGAGACAGTTACACCTGGAAAAAGATCTAACTAGTTTAGTCCAGTCCTGGGAAGGACCCAGGAAACAGGACACTTTACAAATGTCCTAAGTTTGGAAAAGAATCCCAAAATGGCCATGACACAGAACATAAAATGAGACTCTACTATTAATTTCTGATGAGAAAGTTAACCCTCTTTACAGATGATACTCCATTCAAGAAATGTTAAAGTAGGAGATGATTGTTTCTTGATTGTTCTCTGAAATCATACTGATTTATCATAGAGCACCCAGCCAGATACAACTCAGGAATGTTGGCGACCACTCCTGGCTGAGCTATTGTTTTGCTCCAGTGATGATGAAAATCATTACTCCAGAATTCTAAGCTGAGGAGGAGGGTATATGACGTATTTAGACAGGTATATTTCCAAACAGCCATTAGAGGACATGCAGATGAGAACATTTTGGGGAACTGCAATTCCCAGAATCCTCAGCACCAAAAAAGGGAAAGAGATTCAGATAAATGGATGCAGCTCTTCACGGCTAACCAGTAAAAGTATAAATCACCAGACTGAGGTGTGGATGTTTAGTCTACCAGAAAGAATGCGTGGGGAACCTGTCTGGAACACGTTTTCAAAGAATTACCTTTGTTTTGGAGGAGAT